ATAGCTGACTATATTACATTCATTTAGAGTGTGCAACATAGTGATTAGGTATTTCTACACCTTAAACGTCAGTCACCAGGTTGTGACCGTGCAGCTATTGTGATATTCTTGACTGTATATATTGTGATGTTACACACCCATAACTAACTTTATAACTAGCCGTTTGTATTTCTTAACCCCTTCGCCCTTTTCACCCACCCCCTCACCTTCCCCTCTGGCAGCTATCAATCTGTTCTCTGTATCTATGGGTCTGTTTCTGTTTTATTTTCATGATCTAAAATGCTCCCCTTTATCACAAGGGCTAGAAATGTACAAACATAATAATATTGATAGTTAAGATATAAAATGTGAGTCAAATTAATTGTTTTTTCTGAAATGAACCTTAAGAGTTCTCTGGTCCTTTCTGGAATTCGTTTTAGAGCAATCTAGGGGCAGCATTCTGAGAGGCACAGGTGGAATGAGGTCGGCCACCTGTTGGTAACTGTTGGAGCGGAGTGGTGGGTCATGAGAAACATTACTCTTCCTAGTGCTGCATAGGTTTAAACATTTCAATAATAAAGGAAAGTTTAAAACAATGAGAAAGGTATTATATAGTCCTAAATATTTATGGAACTACTCAGTAGTGGTCTTAAATTTCCACTTTCCCTAGATGATAGGCTAAAAACTTGAAAACATGTATCTAATTAGAACTTAAAGAATAAATATGTTAATTTTTTTCGTTTACCCCTTAATCTGTATATGACTGAAGCTTTACTAGTTTATCTGCATTAGTGCAGCAAAAATTTTTATCAAATGGTCTTTCTTTTTTTTTTCCATTTTTCTTTCTGAGTCACTTTATTTTATCTTCTCTGAATACTTGATGCACAGGTACAAATTCTCAGTAAATAAATAATCATTCCCTAAAGCGATGCAATTTAAAATGCATTTATGAAAGGTTGTGGGTCATCATTTATGATAATGGAGTGTGAACAAATTAATTCAAAGTATACAGGAAAAAACTGGTTTCAGGCAGCAATCATGAAACTTTTATTAGTCTCCCAGACTTCGGTCCCAAGAACATGCAGCAGCCAGGAGTCTGCCTGCCACTGGCAACAGTTCACAGCCACTAAGCCCCACAGAGCCTCCACCCGCAGCCTTGGCCACACTTTGATGATAAGGTGACTTTATAATTGCTGTTTGGGCTTGCAAAAAAGGCTGTTATTAAGAAGTGATACCAAGTTTTGCTTTGTCATGTTGGAACAGGAAGAGGGCAAACACAGAAAAATGATTTTGCCTTTAGAGTAAACTACTTCAAAGTAAGATTTTCAGAAAACCCAGCAAATTTATCCTCATTTGCAGTATCCAGGAAAAGGTTAAATAACTTGCTGAAGGACACACCCTGAATTAATTGCATAGCCAAAACCAGACTCCAAGTCTTCTAGTGTATGTGGTGCAGCGGTCGGCTCCCACGTGAGAGTGAGCAATGGGATGCATTCTGTACTCGTGAATTTACTATCAGACCTTTGCAGGCAATAGAAGAAATCTATGCATTCAAATTTTTCCCCCTCCAAGGTATAAATATATTTAAAACTTTGAAACTCTAGTAGGTTGAACATATGTACCTAAGGAAGGGCTACGCATCTTACACTGTCTCTATTTTTGAAGAGTTAAGAAAATATTGCCTTACTAGTTTCCATATATGATTATTTCCCTCACATGCCTTACAGAATATTCCTTTTGTGTTATATCATGATGTCTTAGTGATAACTTGAAGAACTGTTAAACATTAGTGGAAGGAAATCAATCAGATGGAAATGTTCATTTAAAGAGTAATGTTAAATATCTTAGTCATCCTGCAGCCTACTTTGTGAGATGTGTTTCACAGGAATTAGCATTCTCATTCATCCAGATCTAAGGGTCACAGTTACCCCCAGAGTTCATCAGAGAGCAGAGCAATTTCCTGGACCAAACCTTCAAGTTCAGGTTTAATCATAAAACATGAGTTTTATTCCCAGGATAGCTTTTACAAAGCAAGTGATTAAGGCTTTATCTCATGTGATCCCCAATTAATGCAGGGAAAGGAAATTGCCTGTTCCCTGAATGAGTACCTGCCAATGGTCTGGCCATGGGTCTTTTTCTTCCCCCCAGTATATTAACATTTAAATAACAATTTTTAAATTAATTCACTTCCCAATTATGTGACACGCAATATTATATTAGTTTCAGTGTACAACATAGTGATTAGACATTTATATACCTTATGAAGTGATCACCCATCTGACACCATATATAGTTATTATAATTTTATTACTATATTCCCTTATAACCCCGTGACTATTTTTATAATTGGCAATTTGTACTTCTTAATCTGGCCATGGAATCTTGATTAACTAGAGTACTGACAAGTTTTAGAGTTTTTTTCTCATGATAAGTCAATAAATGAATCTTCTAACCAAATAATCTCTTCAACATTCATAGACATTTTAACACATTGCTCAATTCCCTGCTCTCACTGATTTTCCAGCTGTGGAAAATGAAAGTTACATTTGACACACTCAGTCACCTTACATGCGTAGAACTTTCTTAGAGAAAAGTTGAGTTTGTAATTGATTGGAAAACAACCTTAACTCTTTCATCCATCTGTAACTGGCTGTATGATATTGACACGTGTCATCCTACATGCTAGCGGCAAGTCACATGTGCTGCTGAGCATCTGTAATGGGGCCAGTCCAAATGGAGATGCTCTGTTGGCATAAACCACATGCCAGGTCTCCAAGACACAGCGTGAAAAAAAGAATGGAAAGTACCTCATTACTCCTTTTATACCAATTATATGTTGAAGTGATAATATTTTATATAGATTCTATTGAGTAAATTATATTATTAGGATGGTCTGTGATTCAGGCTCCTCCTACAAGGTGGGGTGCTAAACTGTTCATGAATATTTACATTGCAAATATTAAAAATATGATATTCCTCAGAAATTAAATATACATTTTAAATTTAAGGGTCCACATTACAACCCATGCTATTTTACTAATTTCTTTTTACTTTTTAAAAAGTAACTACTGAAAAATTATGAATTACATATATAACTTGCATCCGTGGCTGGTATAGAGCACTAGGTCCTTCCCTGTTAGTTCAGTCTCCGTGTCCATGGACTTTATTTATTCATATCTTACACTGATGTGCATATATGATGTCAACTTTCAATTATCTGTGCAAATCAGGACTTAAGGATGCTTAATTAAGATATACCTTGGGTAATTCAGAACTAAACTTTAACTATCAAGTTGTGTCCTTTGTTGTCCAACTTTTCTCGCCAATGCTGTTGTAAGATAATAAAATAATACGGCTTTGGATTGTTTTCCATTCCTTTTTCTCTCTTAATGTGGCCTGCACAAAGAAAACAGTGAGAAATGGAATGCCCAATAGGGAAGGAAGAGAAAGAAAATAGAAAGCATGAATGGGTAAGAAACTCAGTTACCAGCTCCTAAGAGATGAAGAGCAGGTGGCCTTCAAGTTCACTTTATGAATTCAGTGCTGTTTATCAATGGCCTATTGGATGAGGCCTTGACTGGCATTGATGAGAAGTAACCCACATCACCATCTTCCTTCAATTCAGTGGACTCATTGCATTGTATTACATTGGCTTCCCTGCTCACATTAGTATTGTGAAAAAAGCCTTATAGGAGAACAATGTTGGGAGAAATCCTTATGTAGAGAGAGAGGTTTAAAAAATTCTGGAAGGAGACATAAAGTAAAAATCAACTGGAGTAAACAGCCTAAATTAGGGTCAGTTTACAGTGCATAGCCTAATGACACACAACAGCCCAAAGCAGCAAGAATCCTTGAGCAGGGCAAGGGCAAGAACTTCAATCATTCCCAAATAAGGTTCTTATAATAAGTACTGAGTATTTATTTCACACCAGTTCCATTTTAGAGAGGGGAAAAAATGCCCTTGTCTAAAACCTATTACACATCATTCTGGGCTTAAAACATTTAAACAAAATAAAGTTGTCCTTTAATAATGATGATTAAGTGCTGAATTAAAAGACTTCCCCAATTGTCTCAAACCCCTTCCCAGAAAGATTGCTTTGGGAAGTACACTGGGGTGTAGTCTAACCATTAATGAGTCAGGTAAGTGTCAGATAGGCTAAATCCAGTGGATGCTCCTGAAATAAATAAAGGTCATGCCTAAAAAAGCACTTAGCGAGTTGTTTTTTGAGAGAAACTGAGCTTTCTCTCACCTTAAATTCATAGACTTCCTACTGATGAGGAAGGTCTTTTTCAAAATTAAGCCCAGGGAAAATCAACAAATAAATAATGGTTTGACCTTTTTTATACTACTCATTTCTACTCAGCCTGTCTTTCTAATTGTGAGACTTCTCTTCTTCTGTACAATACTAACGGCACAGCCAACAGTTCTCAGGCAAAGGCATGTTGCAGCTGAAAGAAGTTCTCCCTACAGAAATAGCCCCCTCGTAGCCATGTGGTGCCTTCAAATGTTTCTCTTAAAAATAAAAAGTCTATATTCTTCCACTGAATCTTCTTAAAGATATTCTGACATGAGTAGAGAAGTTTTGTCATCATTATTTGAGATGAGTAAAATGATGCCCATAGACAGTAATGGGAGGAAGGCCAGGACCTCCATAACATGAGGAAGGTTAACTTTCAGGCCCTCTTCTCAAAGGCCCTCATTCGCTTACAATAGACTTTCCTCTCTTGATCACGCCCCTTCTTTTCTCTTTTTTCCTTTTGTGTTCTAAACAAATCCAAATCTGGCCATTTATTCTACGGTAATATTCTTATCAGTACAACTGCCTGGGTTCCTTTACTACACCTGCAGTCTTGGTGCCTAAAATCACTCAGCTTCCCAGGAAAATTAATGATCTTATTAAAATGTGTACAGTATTTTTGTCTAAAAGTGTATGTCCATTGTTTTGATTGGTGCTGAACTTTGTATGGAACCGTGTGTTTATTGACCATTTCCTGTGTTTTTGCTGTCTGTAAAAATGCAGAATGTGGCAGTGGCCCCAGGTTCGGCTGACAGGGTGGCTAACGGTGATGGGATGCCGGGAGATGATCCAGCTGAAAACAAAGAAGAAGATAAATCCGGTGCTGTGAAGTTTGGATGGGTGAAAGGTGTGCTGGTGAGAAAGCTCCTATGTTTACAAACGAAAGTTATCCATTCAGTGTTCTAGTAGACGGAGTGTTAGCAAGGCCTGAACACCAGACTTGCAGAGACCTGGGTTCTGCCCCTCTCTCAGTTCTCATGTCCCTTTCAATGTGCCTTCCATTCACAGGTAAGATGCATGCTGAATATCTGGGGTGTCATGCTCTTCATTCGCCTCTCCTGGATTGTTGGAGAAGCTGGAATTGGTAAGCACTTTTTCCTCTCCTCTATAATTTCTGATGTAAAATATAAACTCAATAAGCAACTTGTGTTCACCATTAATGCTGAATATGAGTTGAAGGTCAGAGAAGAGCTTTTGGGCTTTTTTGCCTTTTCTCTCAGAACATGTTTGTCAGAGAGGAAAGGTGAAGTGCTAACCCCTGGGAGACTGGAATTTTCCAGCGTGCCAACCAGATAAATGCTGTAGGAAATTTTCAGTATTTTCATAGAGTTTCAGGTGACAGGTATATAGATGCACATTCATCTTAAATAATAGTATTCATATTTGGGGACATACTGACATTTATCAGAGTATCCATCCCCCTTATGATTATTGGCAAAACTTCACTAAGTAAAAAAATAACTGGTGGAAAACAGGTGAAAGTGGGACCTGACTAATAAAAATGCTAAATTGTTGAACACCTTCCAAAGAAAATAATTGTGTCAATTTCAGATATCAGCAGTAAGAAAAAAAGGTTAACAAAATACTGCAAGATAGAAGCTTAAAGTCATAGATAAAATGACTGAGATACTGTATATAACTTGGTAATTTTTTCCAAATGAAAAATGGATGATGTTGTAATTATTTAATGTTTTCAAATATTATATTCTATTTAAAGTATTATTTCCTATGGCAATTTTTTTGTTGTTGAGAGTATATTAATAATATTTTTTTGAAAAATTTATTTGAATTTTATCAAAGTTCCTGACTTACTGCAATAAAAACTCATGGCATTCTACTCATGGAAAATACATTATGGATTTACTCTTGGGGAAGACTTATAAATCATTAGCATCAAAAACATACAGATTTGGATGTGTTTTCAGATTCTACTCCAGAATGTATCTTAATTCAAAGTTAAAAGGTACTTGGTCATTATTTATTGCCTTCACTTCTCAAAACACATTTCAGAATCATCAGAAAACTAACTCAGAAAAAGGAAGGGCTGGGTTGCAATTTGAAAAACTGGAACCGGTTCCCATAGTTCCTCCATGTTTCATGCTTGGCAACTGCTCAGTTCCTGACAAAGGGCTGCTTGCTGGCTTTATGATGCGTATCAAATGAATGCTTACAGCCACAGGGCCCAAAATAAGTGTATGCCGGTCCATGGAAAATCTGCATCTTAATATTGCCAAGTTTTGCTCCAGGGTTTCATGCAAAATTGGGTTTTTAAGGGCAGTTAAGTAACTTATTGAGATCATCAAGAAACATTACTTTGTTTGGAGGTGTGAGCATAGCCAAGGGCAAGAGTAATTCTTTTTAATGCAACTTATTTAACATCCATATGTTTGTGCCATAATCTGAACTTTAATCAGATCTTACATTACTCTTCACAGGCAATCCAGTTTCATGTTTACTGCAAAACCATAAAATCCAAAGAATCCTATCTTCTGCTAAACTGTTTATTATGCTTTCAGACATCAGCATTGTTTTAATAAGGACCTTTTATTTAAGCAGTTCAATCCTACCTTCGAAAAGAGTAGAGTTCTAACTAAATGGGTGTTAAGTCTTGCACTATCCTTTCCTTTGAGTGGCGGGTCTTTTTCTTTTAATTCTCAGAAAATAGATTTTCATGAGTAACAGAAACTTATTACCACTCTTACTCAGTTTTACTGGCCTTTGCTCTAAGCTTAAAGCTAAATGAGTTCATCAAGTCACCACCACCTGGGTCCTGTTGGAGCCTCCTTTATTGGGCAAGAAAAGAAACAATACAAGTAGTTTCTTTTTGCTTTGGGAATAATTTGGGGTTTCCCATAAGCATAACCACCAGGTAGGGAAGAAGGGCATGAAAAGCAGGTATGCCCTGAAGCAAGTTATTTATACCTTGTGAGCTTTATTTTCTCATCTACAAATTAGGGAACTGGATTGTTTCCTAATTAATTGTTCTAAAATAATGCTAAAGGACCTTGCTGAATAGACAGACACACATTGAGATAGGCTGAGGATAGTATGATAATTTTTCAGATGATGCTGTACATAAGAACTACCTGGGAAATTAAGTTGTAAAACAACAGAATCCAGGGACTTACTTTGAAAGATCCAAACTCAGTAGGTGTGGCATTTTTAGTGAGAACCCCAGGCATTTCCTGAAGCAGGTGGTTAAAGGACTGCACTTTGAGAAAATCATGAATTGAGTGTTCTCTAAGCTGCCTTTTACACTGTGATTTTATATTTGTGTGAGAGAAGCAAATTTCTCAATGTTTAAGTGTATAAAATTTGTTTCGGGGTTTAATACAGTTAACTGAAATGTATGCAATCAATGCCAAAGGATAAGTTAAGAATTGTTGAAAAATAGAGGCAAGAGTAGGGAGATAATAAAATCAGAGTTGGTTTAATACCCTGAAATGCGAACTATATGGTTCTGTACAACTGATAGGGTGAGCTAAACATTTGATAACAGACTTACTCAAAACAAAGACAAAAGGAAATGATGTGCAAAAAATTGTTAAAAGTCACTTTTATGGGTACCAAGAACTGAGGTCACATGGTGTTGGACAGGTGAGGTTCACCCCAGGATTCCTGCAATGGATAGGGAGAATTTAGTGCAACTGTTTGTTTCCACACCAAACTTTCTAGAGCAGACAGAGCCAAAACAATATGGTCCAAATATGCATGTCGTGCCCACACTCTGCCTCTTGCTACTTCACTTTAACCAGTAAAATAGCCTAGAGATTTCTGCGAGAGCCAGAATATAGCTGAGAGTGCCAAAAGGGCCAGCCTCTAGTACCTCATTCCCATTTCTATCCTAACCTCCCTGGACTTCCCTTTCTCCCAGGGAATGTCCGGGAAGAGCACAGCCTCTCTTGGCTGATTACCTTTCTAATCATCCTTGGGATGAGTGAGACTGCCAACAATTATGGAGCATCCGTTTTATGTCAGGGATCATACAAAACGGGCCCAGGCAAAAACGTTCTGGCTGGAGCCAGTGTGATTTCAGTGCCTGTGACCCCTGAATGCTCCCTGAATTCTGGGTCAACCTTCATTGAAGAGGATATTACAGCAAAAGAATACTGTTTTCCATCTACTGATATTAGGCTCATTGGCTAGAGCTCTGTAAATGAGACTGACAAAAGACAGATTAATGAGAGAAAATCAATCAGAAGTTTACTAACATGGGTAGTGTATACACGTGAAAAGAAGACTCAGCAATGGCTCTCAGCAAAGTGGTGATTTGAACTTGTGCTTATACAGAATCTAAGAAGATGATACATTTTTAGAGAAGTGACCAGACAAAAGGAAAGGACTGAGTTTTTAGGTTGGCAAATTGTGGGAAGGCAAATATATGGAGGAACTAATGGAAGATAAGTAAAGTTTGTTATGTTCCTCTGGTATCAATTCCAGCTTATAAAGGTCTAGAATGGTCTCTGGTGTGTTTACAAATTTGTGCCGTTTTTTAAGCAAATATAGGGAGGTATCTACTTCTCAATTGCCTTTAACTCAAAATAATCCTTAGCTAAAGGCACCCTCGCCTTCCTTTAAATTCTGGCTCACCACTTTTTCCCTCTCATAATCATTGACTTCTGTACCATAAGCTTCTGGAGGAAAGCTTTTTTTTTTTCATTTTATTTGCTCCTTGTACTTCTCATGCTACCTAACACATAGCTGGATATGCAGTTGGCTTTTCATAAACAATAGTTGTTATGACTGCGGGATCTGATCAAAAAGCAGTGCCACTGACTGTGACCTGCATGCCACGCACTATGCTAGCCACTTACCCACGCACCCTTTCTAATTTTATTGCCACTTTTGACTCAGAAAATAAGTAACTTGTCAGAGGTCACATAGCCAGTGAGTGGAAGTAGTTCAATTTGATTCTTTCCACATTATTTCCCTGCCAGATGAACAATCTGTTATATTGTATGTAATTCTCCACTCCTACACAACCAAATGTACACAAAAAGATAGTTACCTGAAAAGGTGAACATCCACTCTTTAGTTAGAGGAACAGCTTAGTACTGTGTAGACCAATTACCATGTTTATAGGTGTCCTTAGAACTTTGTCATCATAAATGGGGTTCACATTAAATTTTGACCAGCTATAGTTGCTTAGTTGTGTGCAACTTCACACTGCGTTTTAGCTCTTGAGTTTCTAGGATCTGTGCTGCTATAGGCAGGAAACTTTAAATCTGAGCACTTACTCTGTGGTGACTGTTAAGCCAGCTTGTTAATTCAAATGTGGTCCTTCCGTGAAATGTGACCCTAGACTTGCTGGCCTTTTTTGTAAACGATCTAATGGATTGTTCCACCCATTAATTAATTGCCTTTATTTTTCCTCTCCCAACTGAGGTCTTGGTGTGATTATCATCGGCTTAGCCGTGACAGTGACTGCTATCACTGGTCTATCCACCTCTGCTATTGCCACAAATGGATATGTCAGAGGAGGTAATTAAACTTGTGACCCGCACAATCATTGGTAAGGTAAAGGCAACAGAGGCTCAAATAGTTCACCAGTGACCTTTTTGGAGTATTTTTAAAGGTAATCCAAGTTGGTTCCTTACTCCCCCACCCCTCAGGCAAGAGAGAGGCAAGAAGAATGGTGAAGGATTTAACCTTTGTCAACCCCTCAACTTTCTCACTCAGGTTCCTTTCAAGCAAGAGAGAAGGTCAAATGTCATGTTTTCTCTTTTCACAGCCAGGGCGGTTTCTCTCCCAGGACACCAGCACTAGTCAACTTTTCCTTTCCAGGGCTGCAGCTCACACTTTTACTTCTGGAAACCATCCTTCACCCTAATGAGCAGCTCTCCGACTTGATCTGTATGCCAGGCAAGCCGGTTTCTCAGTGTCTCCGTAGCACAACGGAACTCCGTTGGGGCCCACGGCTCGGATATAAAAAATTAAAGGCAGTGTAGTTTGTGGCAACAGGGAATCCATGGAAGACAAGTAAAATATAATATCTTTTATCTTTCATTGCTGACAGGTCTCGGAGTTCTCATAATTCTTCTTTCCACCATGGTAACTTCTATTACTGGGTTGTCAACTTCCGCAATAGCAACTAACGGGTTTGTTCGTGGAGGTAAAATTTCTAAGATATCTAATGCTCTCATCACTTGCTACGGGTAGGCAAAAACTTTCTATATATACGTATTTTTTTGATGGGAACGAGAAAGTAGCCCAGTGTTCTGGGAGCCTGGCTAGCCCCTGATGAGCTGGAGCCCGGAGGAAACGTAATGTACTAGGAGCGCGGTCCCAGTTCCCTCCGGGCAGCTGCGGCCTCCTTTCCGAGGGCCTCTCTCTCAGGTTGCAGGTCCTGGTATGCAGGTGTTCGATTTCCTCAGGTAAAGGTTCCCTTTTTCAGGCAAGTCTGCATTCCTCCTGCTGGCGTTTCTTGGAAAACGATCCCTGGACATAGCTTCAGTTTTAAAGTTTACTACATTTCAGGTGTTCCCTGGAACTTCGTGGAATGGGACTCTTTAGAACATTCCAGGTTTTTCGTGGGGAGATGGATCCTTCCGTGACAAGAGTCAGGCTGCTGCCTCCTGAAGTGGACTTTTGGGAAGTCCTGGAGCCAAACGCTTTTCTTGGGGGGTTTTGCAGGTCTTGGCGTCATCGTCATTGGCCTGAGTGTGGTGGTGACAACACTCACAGGTATTTCTATGTCTGCCATTTGCACAAATGGAGTCGTAAGAGGAGGTAAGCCAATTAATTCATTTACTTATGACTGCACGCTTTGGTGACATGGCAACCTTTAGAGTTGGTTTAATGTTGGAAATAAAAATTGTATATTGATAATTAGTCTCCAAAGATTTAAAATAAAAGAACCCAAAATGTAAGGAGTAAGGCAAAATTATTCTCAACTAATATTAAGAGATCTCCAGAAAAGACTTCGTCAACCCATTTCCAGTGAGTAAACATGTTTATGAAGTAGAGAGTGACCAGGTGTGAGAAAGAAGGCGTTCCTCTGTGCCTCGGATGAGCCCTGCAGGCCGTCTCCCGGGCCCTTCCCCAGTGCCCTGGCTAACACTGCTGATACTTCCCACCCAGTCAGTCCTCATAGCTCACCCCAACACTCTGTTTCCAGTGGCCCACAGCCGTGAAAGATCTTCAAAAAGAAGAGAAAAACAAACAAAACAGTTTCTTTCAGATCATCCAGGAGCAAACAGTCCTAAGCAGAAAATGAAGGGGGTAAAGTTGACCCATGTTCTAAGTTCTCTTCTTCTCCGTTCCCATTCTGCTTTGGTTCTTCAGGGTCTCTCCTTGGGCATTGTATCCATATCTCCTACCGCAGGCCTTCAAAGCACCATCCTACCCACAACATCCCTCCTCTCACAATTTCTGCCTGGCTGTCATTTCGACCAAGCCTAAGGAACTGGCTGGCCAATTTATTTAAAGTAATCTGCACAAAGGAAATAATGGGTATTTGCCCCACTTAGATAATAGGTTACATTTTTAGAGAGGGCTTTGACCCCTTAACCTGTAAGAGTTACTACAGTGGAGGCAATTCGTCTTCAGTAAAAGATTGTTTTGATTTTTTTTTAGTTTTTTACTTTTTTAATTTAATCTTTATTGTAATTTTTTTCTATAACCATTTGGTCCCCTCGGACCCCCCCTCTCCCCAGCAGTCACCACACCACTGTCCACATCCACGAGTCCTTTCCCCTTTTTACCCAATCCCTCCACCCCACAACCTCCCTCCACCACTAGCTGTAGATATGTTTGTTCAATATCATTTCCCTACCAGTTCCATCCACCTCAAAGACTAGCTTGGTATAGGAAGCTATTAATTTACTATGTCTGCACTAACATCTACTTATCCAGGCCTCTCGATGTGTGGTCCTTTTTCTCTCACCGACACGCTCTTGGTGCTCTCTAAGGAGTTAACCAGCCGAGCTCAGTCTTTCACGTGCACAGAAATTCAGCCATATATAGGGCTACCTTCTGAAGGTCCAAGGCAGAAGCAATTGTTCCAGGTTCTCCTTCCCTTTCTTCCCATTTGTCACCTCCATACACATCATGCCTTTTCGAGCTAAAAACATTTTTTAAAAGTCTGATTTATATAGTGGATAATATAAAAATGGTACACTACACAGGTACCATTTTTATACAGCAAATATGTACCAGAAAATTATAATAGAAAGGAAGTTAGAATAACAATGATAAACTTTGCCCACTTCATTGTTTGCCTAGGCCTGCCTGTTCTTGGAAATTTCAGATATAAAATTTTACCTCAGTTATATTCAATAATGTAACAACTCTCCAATGAACTTTTGTAAAAGACAAAGCATTGTTGGTAAAGTTTACTGTGTTCTTTTTTGTCACACTTGTATATAATTAGGTTTCAATAAGTTGGGTTTACTAAATCAGGATAGTTCTATGGTAGGTTATGTACAGAGTGCAAGGAAGGGTTAAGCTATTTATTAAGGTAAAACAAGATTCCCAAAATTATTAGGAAATTAGCATCTTTTTATTAGAATAATTAATATTTTATATGTTCTCAAAGTTACTTTGCCATATAAACTAAGTCCCTTAGCAGTTTCTCAAAGTAAAGTATATTCATTTTTGTTTCAGGTGGAGCCTACTATCTTATTTCCAGAAGCTTAGGGCCAGAATTCGGTGGGTCAATAGGCTTGATCTTTGCTTTTGCCAATGCAGTGGCTGTTGCTATGTATGTGGTGGGATTTGCTGAGACTGTGGTAGACCTTCTTAAGGTAAGTAAAAGCTTTTCTTCAGCCAAGCAACAAATTTTACTCAATTTGCCTTGTCAGGGCACTAGGTCATATTATGGTAATATGGCACGATGAGAAGAAATACATTTATTCTGCAGAATATGGAAATTCAATATAGTTGAAGGAGCCCTAGGTTTGGCATCAGAGCTGGCTTAAAATCATGGCTCTCACATTCACCAGCTGATATATTTTAGACCAGTCCCTCTATTCATCTGAAGTTTGTTTTCCAAATGGTTAATGTAGGCTAATATTGTTTTATACATTTCACATAAATGTGGTACAAATCATGAAATAATGTACATGAAATACTACATAAAATACAAACCATAAGATAGATAATGGGTGTTATTATCAGCAGCAATACAGTACTCCCATTCCATTCACTGAGGATAAGCTCTAAGACCTCCAGTGGCTACCTAAGACTACGGGTATTACTAAGCCTATATATACTATGTTTTTCCTATAGATATTTATGCTAAAGTTTATAAATTAATCACACTAAGAGGTTGACAATAACTCATAAGAAAATATAACAATTAAAAGAACATGCTGTAATAAAAGTTATATGGATATGACCTCTCTCAAAATACCTTATTGTACTGAGCTCACTTTTTCACTTAAATGAAGCACTCTCTAACTTTGGCCTATCTGAATTGCCAGCACACTGCCAAGATTCACATCCAGGTGAGACAGAGCAGGACAACACAAGATTTCACCACACTACTCAGAATGGCAGTCAATTTAAAGCGTATGAATTGTTTATTTCTGAAATTTTCGATTTAATATTTTTGGACCATGGTTGACTGTGGGTGACTGAAACCACGGATGGAGAAACCACCAATAAAAGGGAAACTACTGTATTACTGTCATAAGTATAGATTTCCAAACAGAAAGAAACTTAAAACATCAGAATAACTCACTGCAGAAAAACAGGCATTTCCTGGTGTAGGTGCCCCATCTATAGCCAGTGGTGCATACGGGAGACATGAATCACCTGGCCTACGAACTCATGTCTAGTCCTCCTTTGTGGTAGGGATAGCATTCACCGAATTTAGCTGCTAACAGTACCTCTGTCAAAAAACTAGGTGAATGAATGAGCGGGGTATATAGTTCATAAGGTATTCTATCTTCAGGAGATGCATTGTCTGCTTTGTGTAGTTGGTTCTTTAATTGAATAACACTTATTTTCCAATATGCACAGTGGAAACTACCCATTTCTATTCGTCTAGGATATCCCTGACACACGAAAATAACTAGTCATTCTGAAACAATACATGGTGTATGTATGTGCACTTACTTTTACCTAGTGCTGTGATAGCTTCTAAAGCTGTGACTAGAATGAATCTCTAAAATTTCCATCTCCTAACCTTGGCTATCAAATGCCTATTATCATAAGAAAAAAATTAATGTTAAGTTCTTTATCTTATCAAGTTTATGAGCACTTCATTTTCCAGTTATTCTGTATGACCCCAGACATTAGTGTATTAGTATTCATCTTACTGTTAAATGATACAATAAATATGCAAAAGAGAACGCTCCAACTCTAACCGTTGTTGTGATTTTTCCCCAGGAGAGCGATTCAATGATGGTGGATCCAACCAATGACATCCGGATAATAGGCTCAATCACAGTGGTGATTCTTTTAGGAATTTCGGTGGCTGGAATGGAATGGGAAGCAAAGGTAAATTTCTTAAAATTTGGTTTCCAACAACTGCTGGTCAGGCCCTGGATAAATTGCAAGGAGAGACAGAACTCCTATCGAGAAAGAAGTACTGTTATTACTTGCCATGAAAAAGTTGCAGGTTAGCGCTCTGCAGAACACCAAGCCCTCAGAGCAGGAGTCCAAGCAGTCTGGACTCACAGCGCATGTGCGACACGATCAGACCTGAGCTTTGAGCTGCTCTGCTCTCATGGTGCAACAGAGCCACTGAGGTTGGCGCCGTCTTTATTTACAGATCGCGTTTTGATGGCAGCAACAGCACATGCTGGGAGCCTGTGTCTCCCAATCACACCCTCGTTAACTCCTTTCAGGTGGTTATGGGTGCCGAAACCAAAAGAAATGGCAAGTGCATTGAAGGAAGGTAATAGAGGCAGAAACTATCATTCTCTGAAATCCAGTTCTTCAGCAGAAAATTGGAGGACAACGTAGGCCTTGGAACTAGGGAATATCTGTATTTAAATAGTAGTAAAACCGTTAGTAAATTTTTAAATGGCAGGAAACATGTCTTTTTGCATGCTTTGTAACTCTGTACAGTGACTGGTACAATTGAAAATGAATCTGTGTGCCTGGAGAAGGCACAGGCAATAAAGAGATGGCCTGAGCCTTCCACCTACATAAGGCAATAGGGACATTCCTGAACCGCACTTGTCTACAGATTATGCATTCATGCATCAAACAAAAATGGATTACCTGCTCACATGTGGGGGGAATTCTGCTAGCCACTGGATATTTATTCCATTACGAAAGAAACAGGCACAATTTCTACCCTAGCTGAGTACATGCTTGCCTCGGCCCGCGAGGCAGTCAACGGGGTCCGCCGATATACCTGTAACGGATGAAGGGGGATGGGACAGGAGGCGCGAAGAATGGCAGCAAGACAAAGGATTCTGATCAAGCTGCAAATTTTATTTCAAAATGGAGGGAGTTATATAGAGGAGGGCAGTGGAGGAAGTGCAGTGGATAGGTGGCTTCAAAGCGTGCTCTAGCCTGCGATTGGCCGGGGGGTGCATGGCGGGTGCGTGATCAAGGCACTGATTGGTGTGCCACCCGCATGTCCAGGAGGGGGAGTTCTATGGCTCCTAACCGCAGCATCCTGTTATTCAGGCGCAACCTTCAGGTCGGATTGTATCAGCCTGTTTCAGGCTTATCCCAGCCCCCAACACATGCTCTATGAGGATATGAGTAATAATCAAGGAGATAACAAGTACATATAAAATGGTAAATTTTAAAAGTACTATAACAGCAATAAACAGGGGACTGAGATGGAAAATTATGGGGAATGTACTTTCAATGAGTTTGTTCCCTGAGGGAGGCCACGCAGTCTCATGGAGCAGAGGGCAGAATTTAAACTTCCAGCTTTGCTCTCAGCATGCTTGGATTTGAATCTAGTTTATATCCATATGGCCTCTAGTAAATTGCTTAACTGATCTGTGCCTCAATTTCTTTATCTTTAAATGATGATAATGTTACCTACTTCACAGAGTTATTGGTGGTATTACATATCTGAAAGAATACTGGTAAAGTTAAATCTACAGCTGTTATATTGAAAGCCCTTGGTGAACATTAGCTGCTATTTGGATTCAGTGATTGAGGAGGTAACTAAGACTGAAAGGAAGAAAAGAAAGAAACAGTTCTGCAAAAAGTAGAAGTGCCTTCTTAGCAGAATGAGCAGCACATGGAAATGCCAAGCAAATAAACACCTCTAAATGTATGGGGAACTAAAAAAAAAGGGCAATTTGGCTGGTCAGCCTTGTAGACTGCTTGTGCTGGGCACATAATCGCAGCCCAACATCAAGTGCACTGAGTGTTAGGGGAACTCTGTGAGTCATTCTGTGTTCTCATACTCCTGCAGTTATTAGCTCTGGGAATGGGAGAAATCCATGGTGCTCTGCCTGAAAGGGAAATAAAGTCTATCAGTGTTAAAGCTTTGGGCTCCATTTATATTCCTGAGAACACTGCAGCAGGATACCTGCCCAGTACTTAGAATGTTCTTGTAATGTCAACTTTAAATACCAAACACATGCTCCCATTGAAAATGTGATATCTGTAGTCAGACCAAATAAGGCTCATTAAGATGCTATTCTGTAAGGGTCCACTTATCACTTAATTCAGGTAGTAGAGTCTTAACTGGAATAACCAGATAGCATCTTTGTTCAGTGTACACATCACTTTCATGATTACATAAAAAGTTGTTAAATAAATGTAATTTGGCTTTTTTTTTTTTTACTTTGCCATTCCAGGCTCAAGTGATCCTTTTGGTTATTCTTCTTATTGCTATTGCAAATTTCTTCATTGGAACCGTCATTCCAACCAACAATGAGAAGAAGTCCAAAGGTTTCTTTAACTATCAAGGTACATGCGACAAATAAGTTGCTTTGCAATAAATGGTCCTCCATTGCTCCCCTCCGTCGCCATCCCTGTGACCTCGACTCTAGCCCTGTGATCCAGGGAAGAGCCAGAGGTTGGGTTCAGGAGCCAGAGTGAGTCAAGACCCTGCTGCTTACCAGCCAGATGGCTCACTAACCTGTGTGGGTCTCAGATTTTCCTGATCAGGTGTGAGTGATAATAATAACTTCCTGTGAGGATTTTTAAAAAGCAAATAATTAGTGGACATAAAATATCTTGAAAACCTTAAGGTTCAAGACAACTTATTGCTGTCAAAAGAGTAGGAAAAAGTGCACGTATGAAGAAAGAGAAGGAAGCTCAGACCATTTGTTCAAACACTGAGAGCACTAAAGTCACAGTCATCTTTCTCCGCTAGACTTTTTTGCACCTTGCTTTAGTAGCATTTCCTAGTTAAGCAGCACTGTCAGGTTTTTTAGCATAAACGACTATAGGAGGTACTTAGAGCAGCGTCCTGTGGTACCTTTGCTGAGCGTGGAATTTGATTTGTCTCCCCCTTTCCACTTCCCCTGTCTACCTTTTCCTAACTTTCCACTCCAGCTTACTCCAGAATCCATGTCTGAGATTTTTAAAATATCTTCCTTCATTTTCTTGGTTGTCAGTATTCATTTCTTTCTTATATCACTCATTTCTTTCTTTCTGATTATTTTTCTCTGTAAAGATCATCTTGTTTGCATTGCATGTTAGCTTCCTTTTGCTTTTTATTCTTTTTTCTCCTTCCAGCTCCTGCTGTATTTCTTTTCTGGTGCTATACATCTTTTTTCCTTGTTCTTGCATTATTCTAGTTTCTTCTGCTCATATTTATCTTCCTTTTCTTGCCCTCTTTCCCTTTCTGTTTTTTTTTTCTCTTCTAGACAATTTTTTTCATTAAAGTAATTTGGTGACAGACAACCTGTGGGATGGTATTATTTTATGATCAAATCTCCTCACAATATTATTCTCCCATATGTGAGAATTTGGTATAAAAATTCAAAATTCAAACTCAGCAGGCAGTGACTGGCTTAGAATATTAAAAGCAAAACTGTAAGGTAGGACCCCAGCTGGTGTGGCTCAGTGGATTGAGTGCTGGCCTGGGAATCAAGAGGGTGCTGGTTCAATTCCCAATCAGGGCACATGCTTGGGTTGCTGGTCCCTGGTTGGGGGGACATGACAGGAACTACACATTGATGTTTCTCTCCTTCTTTCTCTCTCACTTCCCCTCTTTCTAAAAATAAATAACGTTTTAAAAAACTGTAAGGTAGTCTCACCCACAGATTCCTGCAATTTTTTAAAAAGAGACATTATATTTATGAGTGTGCCTGTAACACCATGAAAAAATTCTCCATTTCTTTGTTTTTCAGTCTTTCAGATTCAAAGACTTCAGGTGTCTCTGTTGGCATAAAATTGATTGATTTCTCACAGCTCTGTTCTGGAGATCTAAAACCTTGTGATATGTGTGTTGACCTTTGGCAAATATTAACATGAGGTTTATCAGTACACCAACACCTTTGGGTTTCATTAAGATTATAGGAACTCATTTGCATTTAGGGCTATAAAAGCCAAAGGTAATTTTATCTCCTACTCTGTGAAGAATGTCTACATGGTAATTTCTCATTATTTGTGTTGCAGCATCAATATTTGCAGAAAACTTTGGGCCGAGCTTCACAAAAGGCGAAGGCTTCTTCTCTGTCTTTGCCATTTTTTTCCCAGCAGCTACTGGGATTCTTGCAGGTGCCAATATCTCAGGAGATTTGGAGGTATGTTGTTTTCTCTGCTTTTGTAGTCCAGGGAGGTGGCATTGCAGCTGGCGGGCAGCACAAAGAGCTGTACAGATCAACAGTGGCCATGTTTCTCTACAGCTTTCAAATCGTAAAATTTTCATAAGGTTTCCTCATTATTTAAAAGTCATATTTTAATGCCAAACTCTCCTATTTCTGATAGTCCCACAAGTCTTATTCAGTCATATCAGGAGGAAAGAGTATGACAGTGTGTCACACTTCCAACAAAATAATACTATTCAATGAAACAAATAGAAGAACCACCACTTTCTCTTTTAAATGCATAATGTGTAAGAACATGGAACATTTAAGAAAAAAACAAAAAACAAAGATAAATTACTTTATTGCTAGATGCTGATATTAAATTCAGGGACACATTCACTCATTTAATAGGTATTTATTTAACACTCATTCATATTATTCTATGTTAAATACTATAAGGAGCATTGTATTAGTTATGATATTGGCTCAAATATTTTATGAGACCAGTAATTTTGACCTAAACAAGATAGAACTTTTTCTAGTGAATAAAAGTTTGAGTTCATAGCCACCCAGTGGAGTAAGAAAGATCTGCTCCAAAAGGTAGCCCAGGGATGCAGATAACCTCCCTCGTCTTACCATTCCCTTGGGGATTGCCCTCATCTGCAAGGTCAAAGATGACTGATGATGTCCAAGATCACATCCCAGTCCATAGGAAGGAGAATAAGGAAGCAGAGGACAAGCAATTCCTGGACCTTCAATATATTCCTTCTGCTGACATTCCATTGGCCAGAATTTAGTCTGAGGCCTTCCATAGTTGTAAAGAAGACTGGGAAATGTTGTCTCTAGTTCAGCTGCCATGTGTCTAGAAAAAATCTGATAGGATTCTAGTAGTGAAAAGAAGAAGATGGGAAAGAATATTAGGAGGCAATAAACAGTGTCTACCACACACATGCATGCATGTGCATGCACGCAGCATAAAAAACGCAAGTTTTACCTCAATAAATTTGTAATTACTTTGGAAGACAAGAAATATTTATAAGAGCCATTGAGAGATTTGTATACAAATAACTTATATGCGTGGTCCAAGGATATGAACTAAGGGAGGAGGGACTGCCGGAGGGAGTGGGGGTGCTGGGTGCAGGTGGCCAAAGGGGGAAAAATTGGGACTACCATATAGTATAATCAATAAAATATATTTAAAAGGAGAGATATGTATACATTAAAACCATTGGCACTGTCCTATGGATTGTGAGATAAAAAATAATGAACAATTAAGTTAAGGATGATATCCTCATGGCAGTAACAGTCAAGTGTGAACTGACAGCAAAGACTAAATACTGACTGTTGGTGAGAGAATGTATTGGAGGCAGAGAAGACAAGAACAGTCAGGAGTGGGGAAAACTAGGGACAGGAAACATCTCTCATGGTTCAACTGGAGAAGCCCTCATGAGGCTGGATCACCTTATAAGGAGAGGAGAAACAGGTGTCAGAGTCTGGGAGAACCCAGCCAGAGGACCTTGCGCTGGAATATAACTTGTGAAAGCGGAGCCTTTTCTTTGGTTTTCTTCATTGCTGTATCCTCGGAGCTAGTAAAGCTTTGATAAATACTTATTGAGTGAATGAATAAAGGCTTTTACATTTGTTATGTTAAGAACCACAGTGCCACAGTAAACTCCTGAGCAGAGATATGGCATAAGAAAAGATTAGGCTGAGGCTCAGAAAAATTAAGTAACTTGTTCAAAATGATTTAAGTAGTAAGTATCACTGCTTAGTGAAATTTAGTGATGGATGTTGAGCTTCCAGTTTCTCAGATTCAGAAAAGTATCAGGCGTCACTGACATAAGTTTCTACAGAGTACACATTTGAATTAAAGGATACTGTGCTTTTCTTAGACTCTTTAAATACAATTTTGTGTGAGATGCTTACTAGTCAGTTCAGCTCAACCAACACTTACACCAGGCACTGGGAAGGCAAAGAAGAACTCAGTCCCTCCCTCCGAGAGCTCAGGGTCTAGTGGAAAGACAGACTTACTGTAATGGAGTCAAAAGAAGCAAAAAACAGATCACATGTCAATGTGTGCTATGAGATGAAAAAAGTTGAAAATCATTGTATTAGACAAGGCATGTGTGGAGATATTCCTAATGAGTAGGAAAGAATTAATGATCACAGAGTGACTCCACAGGGACCATCACTCCTATGAGGGAACAGATTTGCTTGACTCTGCAGCTGTCAGGTTGAGTACAAATTCACCATGAGTTTACCTTTGTGATGGATTTGATCGGCAGATTTAAGCAAAAAAAAAAAAAAAACCCAAAACAAATAAACAAAAAAAACTTCATACTTTAACTGCATTGATTGCTTATTCATATTGATGAGTCTCATGTCCTCTGGTGGAGGGACTAATGCCTACTGAGACTGTGCTTGCTTCAATTCAATACTTATTGACTCCTACTACATGCCAGGCACTGTCCTGTATAGTCAATAAACATATTAAAATATCTATTTAATAATCCCTGTTAAGTTGAATTCAATTATTTAGAAGTTTTGCTGCTTCGAATTGATTATGATAAGATTTAGTCCCCCAAATAGGATATAAGAAGGTATATTTTCTATGATGTGGATTCAGCTCAGTGAATTTATATATTTATAAGCAAGAGAAAAGATCATTTTGGGGGATAAGTTTAAATTTGCCTCTTCTCTATGTGTGCTTATGAAAATTAAATATCCCCCGTTGTACTCATTCCTGAACAAGACTCCAATGGGAAATTTGAGAGATTGGAGAATTTAGAAGATGATCCTTTTTGTTCAGTCAAAAGTGATTTTTTAAGGCAAGCTTAAGCTTAGTACAAAACATACATACACACACACACACACACTCACACACAGAGATATCATCAATGTGCCAGGTATACTTGGACATTTCTCCTAATAATTTAAGGTTTAATAAATCAGCACGAAACTCACAGGAGAAAAGGGAGAGAGAGAGACATTAGTGAGTGAACTAACTACTATACTTTTCCATAAAAACTCCCTCCTGGACAGTTGGAGATCTCTTCTGTTCAGCACAAAATTCTACAGATTTCTTTATTCACTCTAAACATTTTGTCTTCATCCCCAAAGAATCTGAGCTTACCATTTTGCTATTAGCTCGATCTTTTCTTTAGAACTTGCCTCAGGAAGAGTAACCTAAAAGTTTGAAAACACAGAAATAACTCCTAGTGACCTCTGTTTCTGATTCCACCCTGTCTCCTTGTACTTCCATGCTATTATTTGAAAGGATCCCCAAGACGCTATCCCCAGAGGAACCATGCTGGCCATTTTCATCACCACTGTTGCCTACATAGGAGTTGCTATTTGTGTAGGTAAGTACTTATGTCTCTGGTGTTGAAATGCCAGATTTTCAAGGGGTTGGATGGGTTTGCATGTCCAATGGACTTTCAGTGGAACATAAGCAGAACATTTTTTAAAAGGCAACAGTCTTAATTCCATTCTTAGATGCTCTAGGGTTTGAACGCAATTAAACTGTAACACAGGTGTCTCTGGTTCGGGTATAGAGTAATCAGGCCACCTCTCAGGGCTTCAGGAAAAAAAATGTCTGCACTGAAGTGGTTCTTTCAACTTGAAGATTCTATGATTCTTAAGTCTTTCCTAGATTTAAAGAATATGAATTCATGGCCAAAATTCGGGGTTCTCATTAGTACCTAACTATTGCTGGAACCTCTCTTATAGTTATTAGCAAAGAGGGAGAAAGCAAAATAAGCAGTTGTATTGGTTGGCATTGGGTTGTCAAGTATTTATCCTTCAGGTAGTTCGGAAAAGTTTATATACATTTCACACTTATGTTCATATATTTCAATAATCCTATTAAATGCATAATGTCAGAGATTATGGTTAAAAAAATTCATAAGGAATGTAGGTGATTAAAATATATACTAAGGATCTTTAAAAAGTTGATAATTTCATTTCTGGGAGTCTATTCTAGAGAAATACTTTGAAACATAGGGAAAATAATATGCACAAAGATGTTCATAGAATATTTATAATAGAAAATAACAGAAACACTTAAGTGTATGAAAAATTGAATAAACCAAGGCAAATATTTGATAGAATATTATTTGACCTTTAGTATTACTTAAGAAATTGTAATATTTTATCCCAAAATATTTTATTTATTATTTCAACTATTAAAATTGTATGTCAAGTAGAATTACAACTGTTTAAAAATTATACAAGGAATATCATTAATTGAAAGCAAGGGCTTGGTTCTCTTAATTACTTGAATTCAAAAGTGCTATCTCTTGGTTCTCTCATAGATGAGACAATAAATCCTACTGGAAAAACACTGGATCAGTAGCACTAAGCCTGAAATCTGAATTGAGTACTATGAAATCTGAATTGTATGTGCATTTTAGGAGATCAGAAAGTAAGGTATTTCTAATACCCAAGTGTCTTGTAGAAGCAAGTGAGAGCTAGGACAAACCTCTCCCCCAAGACAGTAGAAGTGGCAGCCTGTTAGACACAGGGCTACTCCCAGGCTTCAGAGGAAAGAAGCCTCCAGGTAGCACGTCCCAGAAAGCATTGACAGTGAAGACAGGGGGGGTCAAGGGACCTGCTCAGACTTCAACTAAACCAAGTATGTTTTCAGAAGAATCCCCTAAGGAAATAGAAATCCTCATATAAAGAAATGACAAGCCACCGTTGTTTCCCCAGGGGCCTGTGTGGTCCGAGATGCCACTGGAAACGTGAATGACACTGTCATTTCCGGGATGAACTGCAATGGCTCAGCAGCCTGTGGGCTGGGCTATGACTTCTCGAGGTGTCGCCACGAGCCATGTCAGTATGGGCTGATGAACAATTTCCAGGTTCGAGCTGCCATAATTATAATGATCCTTCTTGCCACTGTTTCCATTTTTATAGCATCATGTATAATGAAACTTCTGATGCTGTGGCTGATTAGATTATTGATTGATTTGAATTTAACATGGAACACATGGTGTGGGAGGGAAGGGAATCACACAGACATTAAGTTGTAGCAAATGCTGGGGTTGCGTTTACTGTGGTGAGGAGAGAACAGGCACTTGTCTGACTTGCTCCACCAGGGAAGGATCACCACCCAACATTGTGTCTTCCAATCATTGTGCAAGGTTTCATGAAAATGAGGGGAGACTTAGAGGTTAGCCAGCATTGGGATGCATTTTACCCATGGGCCTTGGCTTAGGAACAGCAGTGGCCCTGGAGCGTCTGGAACACCAGGCCAAGAGGAAAATGACAGTGACAGAGGGGGAGGCAAGAAAGGGGGAAAGAACAGAGAAGTTGAAACATACTAATTTGTCTGAACTATTGGTGAGCAGAGGGAAAGGCAAGTGGGTTGCGAAGGCTTCATTCATCTATTGTAACAACCAGCAAAGAGAAATTAACTCAGCTGAAGCCATTGTTTTAAAATATGACTTAAATGGATAGAATCTCATAATGTCTCAGATCTAATGAGTAGAGCAAAAACAAAAGTTTGAAAAGACTCTATGTGCAAGAAGAACAAGAAAGTCTAATGCCTTTAAAAAACTGGTAAACAGCTGAGTGCTCCCCCAAACCTTATTAAAACACCACTTTCTGTAAGATAGAATTTCCCATTATGAAAGAAATATATACTCACAAAGGACAGAGGGGGACACATCAAAATCTTTAACCTCTTACTTTATCCTTGAAACCTCTTACTTTATTCTTTCCAGTATCTTCTGAATATATTGTGTTGAGCATTGATTATTTTTATAGTCAACAAAAAGGCCATTTCCATTTAAAAAAAAAACAGCTCTTAAGAACTTGAGAATGAAATGGCTGGAGGAAAAAGGGAGGGGATTCTAGTTAGAAGCAATTAGCTTATAAAGGAGATTCCAAATCACAAAAAGTGAAAAGAGAAGCATTTGGATCAAAACTTGAGTCTTTTTATTTGTTTTTGTTTTTTTTACTGTCTGTTGGCTGAGTTTCTTTACTTGACCCTCTCTTCTCAAGGTCATGAGCATGGTGTCAGGGTTTGGCCCCCTCATCACGGCTGGCATCTTTTCTGCAACACTCTCCTCCGCCCTGGCCTCCCTCGTCAGCGCTCCCAAAGTGTTCCAGGTGATCCGGGCACAAGAGCATGTGCTTCTCTCTCCTGCTGTTGCCACTGAACGTGGATCAAGCTGAAATATTCATTCTCACCAGCAATCATTTTCCATCATTTTCTGAAACAGTGTAATGTTTGCATCTGGCTCAAATGCTATGTCTGCCACATAGTCAAGATTGATTCAAATAATATAAAGAAAGATGAACTGCAGTGTTAACTTGTGCCTCGTATTGTGTATCACTCCATCTTTCCCTGTATCTTCTTGTTTAAATCGCCCAGGGAAAAGGATCCTACATAGATATAAATGACAAAGCTCTCCTCTTGTTCCCCATTAGGCTCTGTGCAAGGACAACATCTACAAAGCCCTGCAGTTCTTTGCAAAAGGATATGGGAAAAACAACGAGCCGCTGAGAGGATACATTCTCACCTTTGTTATCGCCATGGCATTCATTCTTATTGGTTCGTAGAGTCCTTGTTCTTATCGAAAGCCAAGTAGTTCTTCTGATACTCATAAGTTTTCCTTTTAGCCTGAGAAGTTACCTGTTTTATGTTTAATATTCCATTTGGGAATATTGGAGTCTATCTAAGAAGGAAATGAGAAATCACCAGTCTTTACATCTCCTAGCCTGGCAGGGAGCAGGAGAGTTGACGTATTCGTTCTCCCAATGTGGTATGTTGACCACCTGTGTCAGAATCAGAACCACCTGTGGGTTTGTCTGAGTGCAGATTTTTAAGGCACAACCCAAGAGTTACAATCAGAATCTCTGGTGACAAGGAATCTGCATTTTTACAAGTTTCTCAAGAGATTTATAAATCACTAAAATTTGAGAACCCCTTACTAGAACTTAACCTCCTCTCCTTCCCCCTAAACAATATAGAGACGACTACTTAATCTTGGAGAGGCACATGCATCAATGTAGCCTGCACATTCCTCACTGCTCCCCAGGCATCGATTTTGCTGGGGAGGCATGTTAGAGGAAATGGAGCAAGAAGTAAGGATGGTGGCAACTGTGTGGGAATGAGCCTGCCTCAGCACTGAGGGGCCAAACAATGAGGGCTCCTTCTCTTCACATAAACTCAGGAAGTGACTGTAATTTGTGAAATCATAAGATTTCCACAAAGGTTGAAGGTGTTTGTTACAGCTAATAAATTTTGTTGGGTTTTTTTTTAAATCATACAAGAAGTGATTCTGTATAGATGTTTCAATTATGTACTTTTAAGACTTCAAATGACAGCCATATCCTACATTTAAATGATCAAATAGACAAAGTTTTTAAAATGGTATAAATTAAATAATACTCATACAAATCACTCTTTTAGAACAACGCAGAGCAGCTTCACAGCCCCAGCTTTGTGGCACCTGCTTCGTCTGCTTCCTTGCTAGCCACCATGTGCTAGGGACACACACAGCTGCCACCTGCATTTGCATCACTGAAGCTGATAGACACCTGATGCTCAGAGAAGCATAACTATCTCTAAGTTATTACTTCTATCATAAAGTAAACAATTCAGCTGGAATTAAATCTTGCTGGATATTTAGCTACTGCAGTAAAACATCTGTGACAAATCTTAGAAGGTAAAACTCTCTAGAGAGGTAGAAAAGTACAAATGACTAACAAGGATTCTAGATGTCAGAGAAAGCAAGTTGGGTATATGCAGAGACTTCCGAGTAGGCATTTCTGGTTCACTGGTGTTTAACTACTCTGTCACCTGCAGAGGTATGCATAGCAGACAAAGAACGCAGGCTTTGGTAACTTTGCAATACCTACAGGGGAGTTTATCATCCCGTTCCTCAAACCTTCTATCCATTACCACAAAATTTTTTTTTCAGGTCGAGGTCATAATGCCTATTTCCTGAAAGGTAGATTTTCCTGGTTCTTTATAGAAAAGAAACTCTAAGAATAGATTTTAAAATGAATGCAGCCCCAAAGAAAAATCACCAACTTCTTAAACTTTGACAGATGCTAGCTATGTTTTCAATTTCCAAATGAAGTCAAGCTTCCAGGCTGCAACAGCTGTTTCAGCCCCTGGTCTCATCATTCATATGTACATGCTCAATTCTGCTTTGTTCACAGCGGAACTGAACACCATCGCTCCCATCATCTCCAACTTTTTCCTGGCCTCGTATGCACTTATTAATTTCTCCTGCTTCCATGCCTCTTATGCCAAATCTCCAGGTAAACTGACTTTTCAAAACTAAAATAAGCCTAAGCCAACAGTTAGTGTCAGTAAAATGAAATAAGTCAGGGGAAGTGCTTAATTTGTATTTATCTGGGTCTTTTTACATCCTAGTAGGCAGTGTAATCCACTTTGTTTTGGTGAGTTGGGGGATGACTTCTGAAATGGAAAAAAAATCATTTGAGCAATGGCCTTTTTGACCAACCGTAAAGTCAATTTTCTCCTGTGGCAATAAATTATTCATTGCAAGAGAAACCACATTTATTTCAGCAGTAGAAAAACACCACTATTTATTTCCAGGGTGAAAGTGACCACAGAAGTGGAATAAATGTATATATTTGAAACTTCCTTACTATCAATTTGTTTCCTGCCCATGGTGCAGAAGAGAAGGATGAGTAGTTCCCATAATTACCTGCTGAGTGTAGTCAATGCAGATTCACAGTGGAGCCACTGGCATCCTTGCCCTCTCAGACTGTGGTTTAAAGTGGTGTAAAATTTGACACCAAAGAACCTTCCCCTGTCTAGTCATCCCTCACTTCTTCTTTGCTTCCACTGACCAACAGAATTTCTTTTGCCTTTCCACCAGAAGAGAGACTAGTCTTTATCGACTTTCAGAAAGTCCTTCCAATGAGGACTTTCATCAGGGATACAAACACATTTCCGCTTTTTAGGGCCTGCCATGATTGGACCTCCTTTGGAAAAGCTGCTGCCGATAAAACAAAGGGTAGATAAAAGAGGGAACCTACATTCCCCCCAAGGCCACTAGGCTCCGGAAAACACTGAGGACACTCTGTTTCTGTTTTGTTGTCTTCTTTCAAGCAGAAAACAGAAAGCTCTAGTCAGAGAATACAACAAGCCATTGAAATGTGCCCCTCTATGCCATGTTATGTTCACTTTTGAAAAATAGGGGGAACTAACAGAGATGGGGAAGGGAGAGATTGAAAGGGAAAGAGAGAAAGAAGAAAATAGAAAAGTACACAGAGGGGACACACAGATCTGCAGACCCAGAAACAGACTCTTCCCCATCTCCCCCCTTGTCCCACCTCTCTGTTTCACACACACGTGCCCATGTGCTCACATGTACACAGTCAGCCTCAGAAAAATATGGGCATTTCAGTGACATCCTCAACGTGATATATATCCATCTTGTAGCCATTTAGGAATTTGCTCTAGCAGACTTTGAAAGCTCTGTTGTGTTTTGGCAACTCCAAATTTAAAATGGACTTTATCCGTAGACCAAATATACCTTTCAAATTAGAGTTTCCCCATCCTGGCCATACTGTCTCCCTGCTTCTTTATTTCAGAGAACTAATAAAACATAGGAAAACCCACCTTGCATTCATGAATTGTAAGAAATATTTTCATTGCAAAGGTGAAATATGTTAATGCATCAGGTTTAAGAAGACTTGCAGATAAATTTCTCCCTCTTGTCCCATGATGATTATTTCTGAAAGGGCAAGCACTATCCCCTTAGGGTAAAGGAAGAGCTAGCAGGAAGTTAATGGATTGGCTTTTGATGACTGTTCTGCCTTCTTTCACGGGAATAAAGCCATTGTCTTAGCCTTCTCTTTCTTGGTCCACCAAGCAATTCCTCTCATCCCTCCCCCGAAAGACCCCACTTTTCCATTCCTCCTGCCTCCTTTAAACTCCTAATGGCATAGATATCAGATGCTCAAAATTTCATAGTTTGAAAAGACAATCAGGAAACATGCAAAAGAGTGGAGAGGCCATTTTCTGTATTTCACAGCATCCTTATTTAGTATAATTACACCTTCATAGGCCAGGGACCCAAGATCACAGAAAACTAATAACATAAACTTGACCTAAAAGCTTTGATTTTTATGCTAGAAAAAAAACATGTTACCTGCACTCTAATAATACTCACTGGCATGATGGTGAGAGTATGGAAGTTTTTCTGCTACACATACATTTTATTGTTGTTCTTTTACTTTCAGGATGGAGACCCGCGTACAGAATTTACAACATGTGGGTATCTCTTTTTGGGGCTGTTTTGTGCTGTGCAGTCATGTTTGTCATCAACTGGTGGGCAGCTGTCATCACCTACGTCATTGAGTTCTTCCTCTATATCTATGTGACCTATAAGAAGCCAGGTAAGATAAAAAGGACTGTGTAGGAATGGGTTTACAAAGAAGCCTGTAACTCCCCATTTATTCAACAAAGTATTATTGAGCAGCTCCTATGTTCTTAGGTGTGTATGTGTATGGTAGATATTAGTAATATAATGTAATACAATAGCTAACATTGTTGAGCACCTATTTTGTATCTTGCACTCATTTAATTCTCACAATAATGCTTCATATCAAGTATTATTAGACCTATTTTACTAATGAAGAAAGTGGAGTTCAAAGAGTTGACTACTTGCCAAGGTAACAGTCAGGATCTAATGGAGCTGACATTTTAACTACAGTGTGTATGATGTTCCTGGAAGTCTATTTCCTTTGGCAGATTGGGGAAGTTCTCCTTCATTGTGTTTTCAAATAAGTTTTCAATTTCTTGCTCTTCCTCTTTTCCTTCTGGCACCCCTATTGTTCAGATGCTGGAACATTTAAAGTTGTCCCAGAGGTTCCTAAGCCTTTCCTCATGTTTTTGGATTCTTGTTTCTTCATTCTGTTCTAGTTTAATGTTTCTTTCTTCCTCCTGCTCCAAATCATCGATTTGAGTCCCAGTTTCCTTCCCTTCACTGTTGATTCCTTGTATATTTTCCTTTATTTCACTTTGCATAGCCTTCACTTTTTCATCTCTTTTGCAGCCATATTCAACTATTTCTGTAAACATCCTGATTACCAGTGTTTTGAACTGTGCATCTGATACATTGACTATCTCTTCATTACTTAGTTATATTTTTTCTGGAGCTTTGATCTGTTCTTTCATTTGGACCATATTTTTTTTTTTGGTATTTGTTTTATAGTTTGGTTTTTTGCTTCTAATCAAGATATCCTTTCCCAATTTAAGGTCATAAACTTCTTCTACAAGTTTCATGCTTTATATTTTAAACATATGTTTATTATCCATTTAGAATTATTATTTGTATATAATGTGAATAATGCCTCAAGGTTTATTTTTTCACATATAAATATCCAATTGGCTAGTAGGATTTTTATAAGAAAAAATTAACTCAAAGTATGCTAAATGCCTGAATTCTAATCAACACTTAATCAATTTTAATCTTTATCTCAAGATAATGATCCCCCACCATTTTTCTCACTCTTCTAAACAAGGCTGGGGAGATGGCCCTCTCTGCCATCTGGGATGAATCCGTACATCCCCATCAGGTATTTTCTCTTATAAAAATTTAAAAATCCATCTAATGTTTAATTTGTTCAAAAAAAAGCAAAATATGATAGTGCTTACCTCCTTTATTGAGAAGATGAGGTCCTAAAAGATCAAACTAAAATGCTTAATCATGATTGACCTTATTCATGGACACCCAGCAGTAAGAATTACTGAGCTGTTCAGTTTTATGATTCCAAATACAAAGATTGCTACATACTATCTGTGTATACAAATACCTCTTTTTCTTTATTTAAGAATGTTTTTAAAAACCTTGAATCTATTCAGGGCTGATCATTTTCCCAGGTGTATCTCCTGCTGTTTGGTTATGACCCAGCCTCTCCACAAAGCAAGATTTCTAGGGCTGCAGCTTTCAAGTCTGATCTTTACCTAGAAAGAGAGGTCTCCCTTCTAAGAATTCACAAAGTGTTCCTAGAGGAACACTTTCTAGGCAATACATTATATGTTCTCTTATTTGGGCATTCATCACTGCTAACATATCCAGGGAAAATCACAGAAGGTTTGTAAAAATTATTTACAATATACAGAGGGAAGCTCAATAGTTTTTATGCCATATTCCTCTTTCATCTGCAGATGTGAACTGGGGCTCCTCCACCCAGGCTCTTTCCTATGTAAGTGCTTTAGACAATGCTCTGGAATTAACCACAGTGGAAGACCATGTGAAAAATTTCAGGTAAAATTGGCTTCTCGGGGACCCTGGTGTTTTTCCAAATTAGAAGTTGCTTTTCTCCGTGAGGGACAAGTGGTCTGTGGGTCTAGTCTAAGGCTAGGCAGTCATGCAAACTACCACAGTTTCATGCCAGCACCTCCTGTAAATAAATGCTTCAACTCTTCCCCTCTGAGCTATGCCCACTTCCAAGTATGAACCCTCCTAGTGTCAAGGATCACCTTCCATGCATGGGGACAAAGAGGTGATCTGAGTGACATGATTTTACAGAGCTGTCACCAAATGCCCACCAACCTTAATCCTTGGAGCTGTCTCCATTCGACTGAATGCTTTGTGGCTTACTGACTTCTCTTAGAAGTAATACATTAAGATCTTTATTAGTTATATCTTATTTTGATTGGACCCTAAGAAAACAAGTTTTGTAAGGAGGATGAAGGAAAATACTGGGTGGAAAAGATAGGCTATATTGGGATTCAGAATAGGATAGTGTCCAAAGGAAAAAAGAGAGGGAGAACCCAAGACCACCTTGCCTTACTTTACATTTTTGCTGTCACTAACTAAACTAAGACAGCAAAGATGGCAAGTCTTGAACAGGATGATTCAAGACTTCTGGTGAGAAACCCAAGCAATATTTAGGGGAGAGTTGGTTCCATTTTGCTAAGTCTCCTGTGTCTGCCATTACCAATGGGGCATTTCTGAGCTCAGAGGCTTCTTGCAATGGTCAGTTCTCACATCTTCTTTCTTTTTTCCACTTCCAGACCCCAGTGCATTGTCTTAACAGGGGAACCCATGACAAGACCTGCTCTCTTGGACATGAGTTACGCCTTTACCAAGAACAGTGGTCTTTGCATATGCTGCGAAGTCTTTGTGGTAAGAGCCACTTCATCCCAACAAAGCCCCTTTCCCTCCCTGCTCAGCTGGTGTTATTTTAGGTGAGCCAAACAAGTACAGGCAGTGATAGGAGAATGTAAATCAGAGACCAACTAAAAGTGATAAATATTTCCAAATGATGGCCTTTGAGTCAGGAATAGCAAGGCAGTTTGGATGAGAGCCCTTTTCCTTGATTCATATAGCAAGAACTAGCAGGAGCCTGTGGTTCTGAATTTAAATGAGCAGAAAATATGGGTTTCTGATTTCATCAGAGACCAACTAAAAGTGATAAGTATTTCCAAATGATGGCTTTTTGGCTCAGAAATAAATAAATAAAATGAAGGCATTTGAGGTCATAACTGCACACAGAAATATAAAAGGCTGAAATGAGCCAGAGGGTGCTCGTATAGAGATTACCTGATTAAGGGCAGAACCAGACATAATGGCCTTAAATGAGAGCACATAGAATTTAGATTGAATATTTGGATAACCTTGATGACACTATAGATACCTAGGGAATTAAACCAAGTTTTCCATGTCTTAGATAAATATTCAGAGCTGAATATATTTCTTTTTATTCAGGAAATATGTGGTAAACTAATGATAACTTAAGACTGGTTTTCCCAAGAGGTATTAAAGTTGATGCTAAAAATTTAACCATAATTATTGCTTGATAACCAAACTCTAAATAGAGGAGAAAGCATTAAAATTATAGCAAAATAACAAATCCAAATTGTCCACACCAGTCTACCTCTACTTGTAGCTTGTGTTCCCATAACATACTCTCTCTCGCACACTCAAAGTTCTTAGCTACTTCAATGCATTGTTATAATAGTTACCTATTCTCCAAAGAATAGGTACCTACTGTTTTTATTTGATCTACATAACAGCCTAGTGTGGCAGAAAGGAAAAGAAGGCTTCTTCTCACTTCACTGATTGGAAAAGTGAGATTTGGGGAAGTTAAGTTATTACACAGGGTCAAATGACAGGAAAGCAACAGAGCCAGGAGGTCAGTCTAAGCCACTCTATTGTGCTTTGTGTTACACCATGAGGGCAAAGCTGTAGCAGACTTGTATCCTGGTTATTGGAATCAGGCACCACTCCCTAAGCACCCTGCTGGAGAATGATAGGACCAATCAGGAAGCTGTGTAACCCTCGGCCAGTCAGCTGTGCCATCCTCAGGGCTTAATCTGCCACATCATCATGACCAGCACTTAAGGATCTTTTTATACTTGGCAATACTCTAAATGCTATATGAAGCCAGTTGGTCATATTCTCTTTCCCCTCTGTGCTTATATGGTAGTAACTCAAACAATATAACTCAGTGCAATTATCCAGTAGGCAGTGCAGGGGATCCTACTGACTACAAAAGATTGACGGGTTAAGTAATGACCAACTCTGACTCCAAAGGGTTTTAAACAATCGTATCAGGCACCCTTTTCTCATATTATCAACTTTGGTGCCCTGGATGAGTGGATTTCATTTTGGCCAATATAATACAGGAGTGGGTTTTGATGAAATAAGCAGTTTGAGATATTTTTCTTCTCCAGCAATTTAGAGAAAACTTAGTTTAGCAGGCAATAAGATACCTTTAGGGCAGGAGAAATGAACTGGGAATATAAACAGTCGTATATTGGCAAGGGAGAAAAGGTCTTTTTATAGAAACAAAATATATTGTTTTTAATTAACCCTTTGCTGCTTTAACTACAATACAAGAGTATGATTCTGGAATATCATTTCATGTGAAGTAGGTACCTAAATCCATGCACCCATTTGCCCTGGTTGTTTGGCACATACATTGGACCACATTATAAATTACTGTGCTGGTCTCTCTGAGTAAGGCCCAAGAGTCTGTCTTACTCCCAGGTACTGAGGTTCTCTTGGAAACAGAAAATAGTTATTGCTTCAGTTAATGACTTCCCAGTTAGTTGCTTTCTGTGAGCTCCTATGGCTACAGATACTGTCAGTGTTTTTCAACTCCACATTCAGTCGTCAATCATCTTTGCAAAGAAATAGATGGAAATTGGATGTGGGGAAAGTCTACATACCATTAGAAAAATTTTTTCAAAAGAATGTGCTTGGTGGTTAGGCCAACCTTGTGGAAAAGGTAAATAGTAATGAAAAGGTAAATAGTAGCTGTTAAGGAATGACAATTTAATGTTTAATGCTAGGAAGCTGGTGCTCATGGACTTTTGAGATACATGGTCAAGATGTGAATCACTGTTTTGCCATATAATAGCTGTGGGTCCCTTTGGTACATAGTTGAGTCTCCCTATGCCTTGATTTTCTCAGGGTTGTTGTGAGAATTATAGACAATAAGCTTTCTGGTGTTCAACTGTGTTTCTGTCAAATAATAAATACTCAGTTGATATTGTTATTCAATTAAGTAACAAGCATTATCATTATTTTAATGATATTTATTTTAGTATAAACCATAGTTGCCATTTTCATTTCAAAAATATATCCCCTTTGCTCTGGGCAGATGTCTCAGTTGGTTGGCATCATTGTGGGTTCAGTCCCCAGTCAGAGCACGTACCTAGTTGGATCCCGGGTCAGGGTGCAACCAATCAATGTTTCTCTCTCACATCAATGTTTCTCTTTCTTTCTCTCCCCCTTCCTCTCCCTCTAAAATCAACAAATACATCCCTGGGTGAGGATTAAAAGAAAATATGTATATTCCCTTCCACAGAAACCTAAAACACTCACTCTTAAACAAAGCAGGTCCAGACACTAGATCTTGGACTGTTTAGGTACCCAACAGCTTGATCATGAGAGAGTGAGATACGTGTTCCCACTGGACTGATCACAGGGCAGCAGGCTCTACGCTCTGTCCTTCTGAGAGCCTTCGGTGTTTGAAGTGCTAGCTGAAAATTCAGTTACACTACAAGGGAGGAGCAGGATTCAGAGCTCACCGACATTTCGATGCTGGTGGGTAGATGCAATCATGTGGCGATAGCTGCCATTTCCTACAACCAAGGTATTTTTAAGGGACTAGATGTCATAGCCCTCAAAGCTGCGGGAGAGTTGTTATTACACCGTAGCCCGCACTACAGCTTTCCAGCTATCCGATTTGCTCTTGCACACTCCCATCAGAGCTTCCTCCTTCTCCCATGTCTTGTTCCTGCGCAGCCTGAAATTTCAAATGGGAAACCCTTCATCAAGACAAATTTGGGATCCTTTTTAAGGAATCCAGCTTGGTGATTTAAAATACTGTCTCTTTTTCTCCTTTGAATTACCATGTAATAAATTGGTGGCATACTTATATCCTGAGAAGCGTTATACTCCACTTCTCCTACTAAACTACTGTTAATGTTTTTGTCAGAGACCCTTCCACTCACTTTTTGAAGGAAATAAGCCATTACAGATCAAGTTAAAGTCCTCTTTATATCCACGTAGCCCATGACTCTTCTTGTTCTCCAAAGGGAGTGTTATACAGATTTTGTTGGCATTCTTCTAGCCATTTCACATATGCGTACTGAAATGTACATTTATTTGGATGAACTTTTTTTCTCTTTAATATTCTTTAAACCTTGAACATCCTGACCTTTCCCCTCATTGTAAGGGAGGGCAGTTCAAGCATAGATAACCCAAGGAAAACTAAAATTCTCATTTTCCTTCTAGCTTCAACTTTTTCTTAATTCCACTCTCATATCCACTAAGAAGAAAAATCATTCTTCTTCAGATGCCTCTCTGCTCCTTAAGTCAATGGGTTTCTATCAGGATGTCAGTGAAGTAGCGACATGACCAAATACGGGAAGAACGAATGACCTGGGAATGGGCACTAGGATGCGTGGGGAGATCAAATATGGGTGAATCAGAAAAGGAAAAACTCTCTCTCCCACAGTTCTAAACAGAAAGGCAATAAAGGCATAACCAGAGCAATAGGATTCTTAAGGTGGTGAAAAATAAAAGTGCGAAAGGACACTGCACTTGGCCCAAATTCCTTTATTAATCCTATTAATACTGGAATGTCTTTGCTATTCCTCTTTCATAATATTCACTTTTTGAAGTAGTGTCACATCAACTTCCCCAGACTAAATAATTATAATTTCTTTCCCCTTTTCTCAATAAATGTCAAAGTTATAATGTGTTTAAGATTTTTAAAGCTTCTTTGTTCAAATCCTGAGTTAATTTATGTACTCCTATTTTGGATCCTAACTAAGCTAATCTCTATAATATATTAACAGAGTGGTAAAATTCATTTTTATGACTATAACACATTTGAATGTTGAATAATTATTTTCTAGTATGTCTTTTCTCTTTGTTAGTTGCCTTTTGCTGACTACATTTGTATTGCAGTCTTGCCTCACATTAATAAGTGTGCTAAAAGGATAATATTTTTTAGCCAAGAGAGATTCTATATGAAATATTTTTATGACTTCTCAATGTGGCAAATTTAGGCATTAAAGTAAATCTCTCTGTCACAATTAACGTTTAATATGGATTTCTGAATTACAAATAGACATATGTTACACTGTATTTATTTAAATGAATGTGAGTTTCCCCAGGGTTCGCAGTCACTGTGGCACAACTCAATATATTGATGTCCCCATACCTTTCCTAGCTGTTGGTGTTACTTCTGTTTCATGGCTGTTGTTATTAATGAGCTTACGGGAATGAAATATTCCTTCTTACTTTTGAAGTTGACAGAGTCTAGAATGCCCAAGAAGGACCAATGGTTCAAAATACATGGACAATCTATAACCCTGAGCAAAATTTGACCCATAATGACAAGTCCTTCCTTAGACTAAGTCTTCTGGCTTAGTAACTACCCTCTCTATAGCTTAACCTTCTCCATCTTCATTGGAGGGTCTTGTTTTTTAAATTTAATGTAAGTCATTCAAACGCCTTATAATGTTGTCACATATTCTAAAAAATATCCTGGTAAAAATAAGGACATAAAAGATCTGATCCAATTTAAATAGAATAATGAAGTAGAAGTTACCCCAGAGGTCCTCTAGTGCTGTGTAATAGAAAGTTAATATGTGCCACAAGTACAATTTTCTAGTAGCCAATTTTAAAAAGTAAAAAGAAACAGGTAAGTTAGTTGTAATAACATGTTATTTAACATAATGTATTCAGAATATTATTTTATTTGATTCCCATTTAGCCCCTTATACCCTTGCCCTCCCAGCAGTCACCACACTGTGGTCCTTGTCCATGAGTCCTTTTCCCTCTTTGCTCAACCGTCCACACCCTACCCCCCATAGCTGTCATCCTGCTCTCTATCTATGCAAAATGCAATCAATATAAGATTGAGTATTTTACTACCCTTTTTCATTCCAAGGCTTCAAAATTCAGGGTGTATATGTATTTTACATTTCTAACATTTGTCAGTGTGGAAAAGCCACATTTCAAGTGCTCGATAATGACATGTGGACGAGGACTATGAGAGTGGGCAGTGAGGACCCAGACAATTTCCTCCTTTTTTAAAAGGTATCCTCACATCAGGAGAGGACAAACGGCATACCCAGAGTGTTAGCTAGTCAGTACCAGAGCCGGACCTCAACCCAACACTCTGGTTCCCTGTTCAGCCCTCTCCATCTCTGTTTAGAATTAGGTCAGGGGCTTCAGTGAAGTTGGGAGCACTCAGTTAAGATAAAAATCAGCCTTAGACTAGGGACTTATCATGACTACTTAAAACAACCTTGCAAGATAAACATTTTTATACTGTTTTCAGAATAGTATCTAAAAGTTCAGAGATCATCAATTACTTCCAAAGTGGCCAAGGTTAGATTTGAAATCAGTCTGTCTGACCACAAAGGCTGCTTTCTTTTTCATACATCCGAAGGCCTTTTTCTCAAATTGAAGACCTTCTAAGACTGCAACTCCAACTGTGGTCTGAGGACCAGCAGCATCCATGTTACCTGGGAGTTATTAGAAATGCAGAATTTTGAGCCCCATTCCAGGCCTGCCCACTGCAGTTTATCAAGATTTTCAGGTGGGCCCGACTGCTGTGGCTCAGTGGACTGAGTGCTGGCCTGCGAGCCAAAGGGTCACCAGTTCAATTCCCAGTCAGGGCACATGTAACCAGGTCCCAGTGGGGGGCGCACAAGAGAGGCAACCACACACTGATGGTTCTCACCCTCTCTTTCTCCCTCCCTTTCCCCCTCTCTGAAAGTAAATAACTGAAATCTTTTTTTAAAAAATTTCCAGGCAGATTGTAAGAAATCTAAGACAAGTCAACAAAATTCTAAATCTCTCCATGAATTGAAATAATTTCCCAAGAAAATAATAGAATTATTTGTACCCTGTATGCCCATAGTACCTATGTGTCAGAAATACCCTTCGGATTGATTTGAAACATGCAAGGAAAAGCCAGCTTGGACCTTTAAGGTAGAAGAAATAAGAACAATTTTTATTTAAAAATGAGTTTCCAGAACTCAGATCTTGAAATGACAAAATGCTTCACCTTCTAGGCCTTTTCTCTTACTCCCTTCTATTCTTCCTGTGCTGTAGGTATGCGAGCTTTTGGTCACTAGATTCACTGAGTGAGTGGGAAATGCTGATTTATCATTGAGTGAGTGGGAGTATGTTAACATTACACAGGAAAAGGTGATGCAGGGGTATCCTTATCACACACCAAAAGCAACTGGTGGGCCTGATAAAATTGTCAGGATGTAGTGGTCCATGGCAGGGTTTGCAGATCATCGTGCCCTGGTTCCCAAGAGGGCTGTCCATTTCTTGCCCTTGGGCTCTAATTCTAATTGGTGTTCTTAAAAGTGGCTCTTGTTATTGAGTCACAGGTTGATTGTATATTTATTCTGACCTTCTTCAATCACACTTTCACTCTTTTCCTAGTATTCTGAATATATTATGTTAAATAAAGTATATTATTAAAATTAACTTTACCTGTTTGTTTCTATTTAATTGGCTTTTTCTGTCATTCCACATGAAGTAGTTAATTAAGCAGGTATTAATACATCTAGCCATTCTGGATAGACGGTGATTAATGGAAGTAATGCAGATCCTCTTGAAAAGCTGAACCTGTGTGAACCCTGTTTATTGAGGTGTTTTCCCTCTTCCCCACTTCTTAACTCAGTGGGGCATTGCCAGCTATTTTTGCCTGTTAGAAAACAACAGTGATGCAATGTATAATAGCAGGGCTTCTAACCAATATTTCATTGTGTCATCCAGGGTCCACGCAAGCTGTGTGTTAAAGAGATGAACAGTGGCATGGCGAAGAAGCAGGCCTGGCTTATAAAGAACAAAATCAAGGCTTTCTATGCTGCAGTGGCGGCAGATTGTTTCAGGGACGGTGTCCGGAGTCTCCTCCAGGTAAGGCCAACATGGAGGGAATGAGTCCAGAGGCAAAAGACAATTAGCACTCCGTGTTAGAGAAGTTCCCAGAGCAAGTGGCTCTGCTTAGGCATTCCACCATCAGAGCGCAATGCAGATGGTTGAGGAATTCGTTTTGAGTTCCTGGGGACAAAGCTAAAACAAAAGCCAAGAGGCCCCATTGCCGTGAACTATGAGGGGTCCACTGGAAATGGGAGACAAGGCTGCCTTTAGCCAACAGCTACATTCTGTCCCTGTGGTTACTGAAATGCAAATTTGTTCTGATGGTTGAGGCCATTCAGGCTCCTATTAAAAACTTCAAACTATGTTTGTATCTACTAATGCTCAAGTCAGGCATTCTCTCTCTCTTTTTTTTTTTTGCAAATGGTGTAAGGGTAGCTGCTAAGCTAAATAAAGGTGTGGTGATCTGGATACAAAAGTCTATCCTCCCTATCCTCCTAAATTATCTCCAGAATGCTGAATAAAATGTAATAATTTCTGTGGTTCAACACTAAAGCCCACAGTTCTACCATCTTTTCTCACTCGTTCTTTCTTTTTTCTTCCCCTTCTATTGTAAGTACATAAAATCTTTCCCTTGTTCTGACCTTCATAATTCAGAGTGTTAGAGTTTCCTTAAAATAATCCAGGAGACTGGCTTTCTAATCATTGTGGCATTAACATGATTGAATAGCCCTGATTCTACACACACCAAATGAATTATTTAGCTTTCAAAGTTGCCCTACACAGGGACTCAAAATTCTGAACTGCATCCAAGTAACTCTGATGTTTATGAAGGCAGAAAAGAAAAACTATTGATTGAAGTGTAATATTTTGGAGATTAAGAGTCTTTGATGCATTCCTGTCTGCAATATCCCTGACGAACACTTGTGAAGTGGCTGAATATGCAGAGAAACAGTTTCTGAAAGTCCTATTACCCACAATGAGCCTCTTTTCAGCCATTATTAATTTGCTAAAACACAGAAATAGAGGTCATTGCAAGAAGCTGAGTTTTCCTTCATTATTGAGGTATTTTTCAGTGGCTTTTCGGTTAAATGTGTTGGGAAGGTTACACATTTAATGTAAAATTATCACAGAAGATTGGAAAAATAATAAAAATATCCACTGGGAATAGGAGGACATGTAAGGAATAAGAACAGGGAGAGAAAAGACCTAGGTATGAAAAACAGTTCATATATTAATCCAAAAGAACCTGTTTTTAAAATCACAGTGCATGAATTTGTCCTGGTGAGTTTCTTCAAAGAAAGTGGAGTACAGAGGGGTCATGGCAGAGGGAAGGGCAGAGTGGTAATAAAGGGGAGTACTGCCGGTGATACCATTTGGGATAAAGCCTTCTTCGCCTCTAAGACATTATGGTATGAATTACATCTCCAAACTGTAGTTATGGGAAAGACTCCATCCCTACTGCTGTACGTCTGCCAAGGGCCAAATGAGCTGTTCCGTTACCTGTAATTTCTAAGAGTGTATACATTTCTGCTTCAAATGTGTTAGAAGCAGAGCTTATTTTAGGAGCCCTCCATCAATACCCATTTTCTACTTGCTACTGGCCTCTCCAAAGTTTCCTGTTCAGAGCATTTGCTTCACTATCCCCATGGCCCAGGATGTCCCGCCTTTACTCCCACTGCTCTTCTTATCTTTACTTGTCAACATCTAACCAACCTGCAAGATCCAGAACAAATGCCTCCTCTCCTCATGAATCCTCAACTGGAATTCAAGGTTTCTTTCTTTATGCTTCCAGATGAGTTCCAACTGCATTTGCACTTGAATTTGCTATTGTGTATATCTTGTTTCCTCCACCTATTCTAAGCTTCTTACAGCCAAAAAGCATGCCTTACCATTGTCCCATGGCACCTAACATAGTACTTTGCTAGATTAAATTTAATTAACTGAAAGTCATAAATATCCTGTCATTTCATGGGGGAAGGAAACTTCTGCTGTAGAAGATAGCTGTTAATGATATGGTCATATAGAAAAGTTAGGTTCTGGAAACATGGCCTGGCTAGTCTTCAATAAATAATGTAAGTAGAAGTTTTAGTGATTTTGTGTATATATGAATTTTCCAAACATGGATTTTATTGCTATAGACATTATGGACATAACAGGTAGAAATGAGTCTTGAACCACTAAGTTATAACACGCATGCCAACAGTTAAGCCAACCCTCTCTTGATTCTAAATTATTGAACCATTTTAATGAGTGTGTCAGAAGAAATGCAAATGACTGCTAATTTAGAAAAGCTACATTTCTGTCATCTAAAATCCATTTATGGCTGAGATGATTTAGAACTAGTCTTTCTATTTTATGCTTGAGTGTGGGCATGAAGGACATGCTCTGAAGTCTAATGCACTCTTCAGAATCATTAGAACATTACATCAGTGCCCTTTGGCCATTAGTTTTCATTTGCTGTGGTGGTTTCCTGGTATGGCGAGGACTGCCCATGTGTTTGTCTCCTCTGTTTAGGCCTCAGGCTTAGGAAGAATGAAACCAAACACTCTGGTGATGGGATATAAAAGAAACTGGAAGAAGGCTCCCTTAGCAGAGATCGAGAACTACGTGGGAATTATACAGTAAGTGATGGCTTTCAAGTCCTGTTCTTGTTTATAAAGCACTAGCTAGCCAGGGCAGAACATGACAGACACTGGTTTACTAGATGAAATTGCCTGACAGAAGGACATTCCCCAGTACTCTGAATTCCTCACCCAATGGAAACACACTGCCAGTAATAGAACTTGAAGGAATCCTAGCATCAGGGGAAACAGAGTGAGGGAAACTTGCCACCAAAGAAAAAAGGTAAATAGGAAGAGTTACAACCTTAAAACCTACTTATGAGATTAAAAGCAAAGGCCAGCTAGGTAAGAAAGGAATTTCTTTTAAAGTGTCTGGAATCTTGGATTAGCTGGTATGCCCAATTCGGCCATTGTCTTCCTCCGAGCCTTGGGTAATGTAGTCACTAACCCAAAGCCTCAAGTCTCCCTTTGTTGATTCGAGGGTCCCATGTACCAGTTGTCTCTGCTACATAGCAGTGCTAGTTTATGCACAGAAAGTGAGTTTTAAGTGGTACAGTACATGACAACTGATACTTAAATATTGGAAGAGTTTTGGGATAAAGGCAATAACCACGGTTGTTAAAGGATGAGCAGGCACCAGGCTCATCTCCTCAACATGAGTCATCCCATTTAATTCTCACAAGAAGACTTTGACATAAGTACTGCTATTGTTCCCATTTTATAAGTAGAGGCGCAGACATTGAAAAGCAAGTAACATGCAGAAAATGACCAAGTTGCGTAAGTCAGAACTGAAATTTCACCCTAGGACCAACTGAATTCAAAGTTTACACTTCTGACCACATGTTATGCTGCCTCCAGAAGTACACATTAGTACACACCCTAAGTATTACCTGGTTTAGTTCCTTCCTTTGCATAAAAAAAGACAAAAGCTACACTTATGGAGAGGCACAGGTTGCCTTCAGTGACCATTCTAGGAAATTGGTCCTTCCTTCCAGGCTTGAAAATACTTAACCAGATTCACCTCAAGGGAGGCAGTACTAGCTCCGGTCAGCATCTATCTTTTGTGTCAACAGCTCTGAAAATGGAAGATTTCCTTGGTCCGGGGCTGATTTCACTCTGATTTTATATCAAAGGGTAAAGAACATGCCCCAAGCAGTCTGGAAAGTCCAGAATACACAAGAAAGAACTATTCACTCATCAGACAAGCACATGCTCCGTGCCTCTGCATCCTCTGGCCCCTGCTAGAACCAGCACCACATTTATCATCATTTCGGGGAGATCTAGGCAACATGACAGAAGCATTCTAATATTCGTTCTACTAAAAAAGAAGCATAAGAGATCATTTTTGATCTTCTGAAATTATATGCATTACTTGACCAAAAAGAAATTCACTTACTCTTCTTAACATGGGGAACCTATGCATTAAATACATGCTCCTGAATTGTGTTCTGCAAATGCATGGAGTCCAGACACCACATGCTGCTCTCTGGCTCCTGCTGGGGCTACCAGTTAAGTAGGTTGAGCCTAAACCAGGTGATCAGGGTTGGGATTTTGCCAGGCTCAGCAAACAGCATGATGATATGTTTAGAATCACAGTCTGCTGCTGACCTGACATTCTTTGAAATAGATTTGGATCTGCCCTCTGTTATCCAGATTTCTCCATTCAATTTCATCTTTACCTTTGGGAGAAAAAAAAAGGTGAAGGGGAAAAAAATTTTTATCTTCACTTTTGGGAACAAAAAAGAGCTGGAATCTATGAAAAGAAATATGTAAATCTATAGTCACACAGACCATTATTTGATACAAAATTAACTGGAACCATCTTCCAACCTCCACACTAACCCAAACAGTCTAGAATTTCAAATGGACCAAAATTATGAAACCTAGTAATATTAAGCCAAAGAGACTTCTGACTTTTATACCAACTTAATAACTGGTCTTCTTGGCAATAAAGTTCAGTGTTAAGGTAGCTCAAATCTATATAGTATAAGGTCTGGCTGGCTTGGCAGCACTGAATGGCCTTCCTACCACAGCAACGGTGTCAGTATAGGAGGAAGACAGCCATAAACAATACTGCATCCTTTTTCTCTTAGCATTTTGGCTTTGTTTTGTTGTATGATTTAAAGCAAGCACAGTATTATTGGTATCATAAGGATATTATTATAACAGTTTAGTATTTTACCATTTTTCTTTGAATAAAAGACTTTAAATGCCTGCAATATTCTAAAGTATGTTTAATTTTAATGAGAATCTGTGCTAGTTTTTGTTGGCTGCACTAACAATTTATCTCAAACTTCGTGGTTTAACACAAATGTATTAGCTTATAGTTGTGTGGGTTAAAAGGCTGGCACTAACTCACGGAGCTAATCGCGAGGTGTGGGCTGGGCGGTGTCACCTTCTGGAGATTCCAGAAGGGAACTGAGCGCCTTGCCTTTTCTAGGGTCCAGAGGTTGCCCGTTGCTCTCGGCCCTTCCTCCCTCTTCAAAGCCCTTGATGGGTCAAATCCTTCTTATATCACATTACTCTAACCTCCTATTCAGCCTCCCAATTCCACTTTCAAGGACAGGCCCACCCAGTAACCCAGGAGAATCTTTCCACCTCAAGGTTCTTAACTTAATCACATCTGCCAAGTCCCTTCTGCCACATGAAGTAACATATTCACAGGCTCCAGGGATTAAAATGTGAATGTCCCTGGGGGTCTGAAATTATTCCAGACCCCCCCTGGAGGTCTGAAATTATTTTGGATTCTAACATAGAATCCAAATATGTTTCTGTAGAGCATATTGTCTGCTTTTTATAATCTAGGATGGTTAGAAACAAGATTTATCAGGAATTTGTGGCAACTTTTGCTAGAATGGATCTAGTTTGTTAAGAGAGCATCACCTAACAGAAGTTTGGATGCATATGCACATTATACTGAACTATTTATATCATTATTTGAAAATTCAGGTTTATATTAGCTGTTGGAAGCTCGTTTATACATAGTGAGTTCATCACAAACTGCCCTGTTTCTGGGGGAGGGTGGCCCAGTGGAAAGGGCCCTGGGCTGCAGATCCACAGACAGTGACCAAAGGAACTCCCAAGGAGAAAACTATAAATGAGCTCAAAGTACTAATTGGTTTGCCCTATATGTACAGGCAGAGAAAAAAATTCTATAGGAATAGAGATAAAAGAAAGAAAGTATTTTTGTCCCTTCTAGATTATCTAATTCCACTGGGTTGGGTGTAGAGAAGGCACAACAGTCAACTTCAACAGCATAGGTTGCCATGAAAAAGCATTGCTTCAAGTGTCTGTCCAAAGTCAATGGCATAATTTCCTTAGAGGAACTGGAGACATTTTTAACTGGGAACTTAATGTCAGAAATGTTGTAGGATTCCTCCTCCATGGGTGAAGAGATTTGGTTGCTAATTTTAAAGAGTGTTTTCAGTCTGGAAAGTTTCTGTTTTAAATATTTCAATAATTGTTTTATTTACATTAGAAAAGAATCAATTTTTTAAAGTATGCTACAAGCTCTTAAACAGAATTCTAGTTGATAGTATATTTGAATAAATTGGTTCCAGACTAAAAGAGTTAGTTACCTTTACCCAGAATACATTTTTAAAAGGTATAAAATGAACACTGGCTAGTATAGCTCAGTGGATTGAGTGCAGGCCTGCGAACCAAAGGCTCGCTGGTTCGATTCCCAGTCAGGGCACATGCCTGGGTTGTGGGCCAGGTCCCCAGCTGGGGGCAAGTGAGAGGCAACCACACACTGATGTTTCCCTCTCTCTCTCTCCCTCCTTCCCTTCCCCTTTCTCTAAAAAATAAATAAATAAAATATTTTTTTAAGGTATAAAAGGAGAACTAAAACAGAAAGTTATAAGCTCTTGGTAGTATTCTAAAGTAAATTTTCTTAGTTTAATTACATTAAAATCCAAGAAGCAAGTTCAATATTTGTCCAAAGCTTGAGTATTAAAGAGTCATTTAAATCACTAACCACTTTGCTTCCACTTTCAGTGATGCGTTTGATTTCGAGATTGGTGTGGTCATAGTCAGAATCAGCCAAGGGTTTGACATCTCTCAGGTTCTTCAGGTACAAGGTATGTACTTTCCTTATTCAATCAACAAACATTTATCAAGCCCTTGCTCCATGGCTGGCTTGGAGTACTAGGTGCTGGGGATGGAACAGTGCACAATATAGACAAAAGCCTCTAACAACAAACAGAGCTTATGTTCTTGTGCTGACTTGAGGTTGGTACACTTCCCAGTGTTCTCCCATCACTAACACATGTGGCCTTTGTCTGGCTAACCAGAAATATAGAATAATCCATAGCTGTCATCAATTACTCTTCTCATCACCAAACCACAAAGCCAATATCACTGAAAATAAACACCTTTGGTAAATTAAACTAGAAAATGTTTCAGAAAATGAAGATTAATTCTTTCCTTGGAAAACCATGTATTTTGTTTTTAAGAGTCTATGATCTAGTTTATAACTAACATGGAAAATGAGCCTGAATGCATCATGCTAGGAATCACTAATCGAAGTCAGAGGCAAGCACACTAATTCAATTAGTGACTTTGCTTTTTCCCTCTACAGGATAGCAGGTACACATATACAGGACTTTTTTTAATTGACCTGCACATTTCAATTGATCACAGTTCAACTGAACCTCACAGTTCAATTGACCCGCACAGTTCAAGGGCCAATCGTACTTGTTTAGTCTTAAACATACCCTCTAGTGTATAAAATGAAGAACACATCTAAAAAGTCACTGCAATACTAGAACAGGGTAATAATCCATGGCTTATCTTTCACTTACCTTCACAATAGAATCCTCTGATGACACAGCACTAAAACAAAGGATTTGGGGGGGGTGCCTCTTATGTAGCAGCCATGATATAGGTATCAGTGCCAGGTCCGAAGACTGGTAAGAGTCCGCCTCTGTCCCCAGTAGACTCACAGCCTAGTAATGGAAATGAGTATATGATTAGTGTGATGATGGGTATATTAATAGGGTATTATGGAAAAGAGAGAAGAGGCATCTAACTCTAAGAAGGCTTCTTTGAAGAAATTACCTTGGTTCTGAGATCTAGTAGATGAGTAGGAGTTAACTAGGCAATGCTGGGGTAGAAAAAAACTGAGTTTGGGGACTAGCGTTTCCGGCAAAGAGAAAGCATTAGCAACGGCGTGAAGACACAGCAAAATGGAGGAATGCACCGTATGGGCAACCCAAATCAGATTAGTGTTAGTTCAGTGAAAAGTTGGGGCAGGCAATAGGAAATATGAGGCTGCTGATAGAAGGTCCTGACTTTAAAAGACCTCATTTGCCATATTAAAAAATGTGGCTCATACTTCATAAGCCATGAGGAACTATTGAGGTTTAAGTGAAAGAGTAATGTGGTCAAATTTAGGTTTTAAATCTTACACTTTTTCAATTATATTGGCATGGACTCAATGAGGACCATGAATGGAAACAGAGAGACAAATCAAAAAAGATTTTCATTTAGTCACGGCTAGAGAAGGTGACAGCCTAAACTAGAGTTATGGATGGAGAGAGAAGGACAGGAGTACTTTGGAGGTACAAAGAGAAGTATTTCAGGGTTGGATCCATGGATAGGACATGAGAGAGGGAGAAGTGAAAAGATTCCTTTTCACTTCTGGTAGTGGCTCTACCAATGGAATGAGAAACACAAGAGGAGTATGTTTAGTGAAGGAATGCCTGGTTCAGTTTCAAATAATCTCCTGTGGAAGATTCTATTGGGAATGTCCAATAGGCAGTGAGACAGTCTTGGTCTTAAAGAAGAGTCATGAACTGAAGATGTAGATTTAGCAGATATTATGGGCCATACTGTGTTGCCCAAGAATTCATATGTTGAAGTCCTAACCTCAGATCTGACTATATTGGTGGATAGGATCTTTAAAGAAGTAAAGTAAAATAAGATTCTTAGGGTAGGCCATAATCCAATAGGACTGACATCCTTATAAAAAGAGATTAGGACACATATAAACACAGAGGAAAGGGAGATGATGTCCATCTACAAGTCAAAGAGAGAGACACCAGAATGACACCAAACTGGCTACCGCCTCAATCTTGGACTTATGGTCTCTAGAACTGCAGGAAATAAATTTATGTTGTTTAAGCAACTGACTTGGTGGCACATGTTATGGCAGCCCTACCAAACTAACACAGGAGACATCCCAGTGAAGGTGAAAGTTGAAACTATGACATTGGAAAATATAGCCCAAAGTGTGTGTAGTCAAGAGCCCTAAAGCACAGGAAAGAGGCCCCACAGAAGGAAAGCAGTGAGCCATCAGAGAAGCAACGAACCAGACATCCATGGTGCTGCGGCATCAGAGTGCTCAAAGTGAGAAGAATCATTAACACGCCAATACACTGGAAAGACTGGTGAATAAAATGTAATTGACACAACACAGATCATCTTAGTGAGAGTAATTCCTGTCAACCTGTGTTCACAGAAGCCAGATTACAGTGGGTGGAGGACAGAATAGGAGATGATGAAGCAGAGAATATGGATGTGGCCAGCCATCCTGAGAAGTCTAGATGTTGAGGAGATTTACCATAGGGAGACCTGTAGACCTTAGAATGCCAGACAGAGCCATGTTTTTAGATTGAGGAAATGGGGCCGACAGAGTGGGAGAGGTTGAAGATGAAAGTTAAAAAAAAGTATGTGTGTGTGGGGGGGGTGGCCTTGGAGGAAGATCCTGGGGGAACAGGAGGGATTAGGAGAAAGGTGTGAATGGAAGAGCTGACCTGACACAGAAGAAAAATGCTTCATGAAATCTGTGGTTTTGTAAGAGTGGAGTGATGAATCGAGGAGGATTGTGCACATTAGTCTCAATTTTTTTTGAAGCCAGAGCAGTTTCTCTCATTGTCCAGTTATTCTCTGGCGGCATTTGGCCTCCAGGGTGTAGGAGGACCAGGATTTTGCTGGGTAGGGCCAACAGAGAGGAAAAGCCTGCGGGGGATTTGAGGGTGCTGGCGCCTCGTGGGTCCAGATTCTATTTGGCCATTTCACATTGTCTCCGTCATAACAGGAGGAAACATGAGTGGATTAGGTGAGTTCTCTGATGCAATCATTCTGGTGTGTTGTAAGGGAAGAGGAGAAGGAAGCAGAAACTAGAGATCAAGAGTTTGTATAGGATAGAGAACAACGATCTGGTATGTACACTCTATGATTATGTACAAAGAGCTTTAAACAAATTAAAAACAGAGTCCATCCTATGCAACATTGTAGCATGAAGGTTACCTTTAGTATCTTCAATCTCCGACTGTTATGTCCCCTTTTTGTTTTTATGAACATTTTACAATACATTTAGAAACCAAATATACTAACACCCTCTCGGTATTCATGATTAATTTATATATTCCTTCCTAATTGAACTTAATACACTAGTAGCAACAATAGCAAACATTTTTAGTACTTACCATGTGCCATGTATTATGTCTCACGTTCACATATATGACAACATCTATCGTCCCACTACCCTCTGAGGAAAGTATGATCATTAATGCCATTTTCTAACTAATGAAATTGAGGCTTACCCCAGATTCACCAAGCCAGTAGTTGGTAGAGCTGAGATTCAAACACATGTCTGATTGAAGCACTATTCTACTTTTTGAAAAGGAAAGCTAGAGAAGACAATGACTTACATCATGAGAGACAGTGGTAAAACCTGAGATGTGGGGATGGAACAAGGCTATCTCCACCCATTTCTCCAAAGCCCCAGCACGGGGCTGCCTGTCTGTGATAAGACAGACGTGACATCGAGGACACTTATAAGAACCTAATATTAAGAGGTTGCTCTGTTGCTAAATTTCTACATTTTACTTTAATTTTGTCTGCCTTTTGTGCTGTAATGTTTTTCACCAGAATACAACGTACAATTATATTCAGATTACATCTTTGCTTTGTATGTTATCTTGATCTCTTCATGTGAAAGATGTGATAGAGCTGAAAAATATTGCTCCCACCCCTCACGACTCCATCCACCAAAATGCATCATCAATTTAGCTCCATAAAGCAATACAGAAGCTCATTTTGCATGTGGTATTTCTGAAGGAATCCTGGCAGTGATCTGCATTCCCCTTTTAATTTCCCAAGGGATGTATTTGATTTATATCAACTTTGATGTTTGAAATATTTCTGCTTCTTAGTCAAGAAAGGGAAATTATAGTTGGATGCTAATAAAATAACTATAAGTACCAATTATCTAGGCTAAAAAAACCCAATATTACACAAATACATGAGGAACATGCAGAAAAACAACAGCATAATGATAGAAATTAACTTTACACTGAATTTCCATGCATTGTTTTGAAGTTTATTTAATTTATGGCACAACCCTCATATTAGATTTTGAATTGGAAGAAATAAGCTTGTGTTTCATTATATTATGCTGTAATATAAGGCTTAATAAGAGCCTGATAAATCTTAAGTATTGCATTACACTATGCTAATGATTATCATCATAGCTTTTCCAACACAGGCACCAAGGTGTCATCACAGATTATAATTTAAAGGAAATATTAGCAATTCTGAGTGCCCATATACTGTAGTTAATAAAGCAGTGAATAGAAATCAACTTTATAGGTAATTTGCTAGCTAATGACAATTATTTCCATTCTGTGCCACAGGCTTATGTGAAGAGTAACTTTTTATATAAATAAGATCGATACTCATAACATTCTAACTTGCACTCTGCAGCAACTCATTCAATACTGGTGGCTGATAGTGTCTCTTAATAAATTAATTTATCACCCAACAACACAAAAACCTCAGTATTTCATGTTGTTCACTTCCCAGGGGTGTTTAGCGAGTTTGCCAACTTTAGTAGACAGTCCAAATTATTCTGGTAAGAAATCGAGTGATGACATGTGATTTGCAATCATTGTGATCAAGTATTCCATGTAAGAACTGCACGATTTATGAGCATCTCAGAGCACAGGGATTCTGCCGTGTCTGAGGAAGTGGCTTAGCAAAATAGAGACAGATGGCAGTGCAGTAAATAACTATTTCACTGGGCGGTGGCCACTGCAGGATTGCTTCCTGCCTTTGGTCCAACTAGACTTTGCCCGGGCTACGGCACGTTGATTCATGTGAGCATTTACAGCTTTGAGTTGATTGACCAGAGGAAGAAGCATGATTTAATAATTAATAGAGAAGAAGGATGCCGCAAAGTGGGAGGGGGTGCAGTTCCTCAGGGGGGTTCCCTGTGCTCCCTGCTGTTCTTCCTGGTGTGAGATCACTGACTGCTCTCTCTCCCTAAGATTCGGAGTGAATTGTGATGTGCAGCTTCCTGCCTATTTCTAAAAAAATACCTTTAAAAAAAAAGACTGAGGAGAGAACATTTGAGGCAATCTCAGCACTAGATTGGATTTCAAAATATGGTCACTCCAGCTGGTTACCATACAATCAATTTATAAAGCACATGAAAATAGAATAACTACTATTCAAGTGGTTTGGCATTTTTATGAAGATACGGCTCAGGATTCACTATTTTCACTGTAAGAACTGTTTGGGGTTATATATGAACAATTGGTTATAAACTCACTCAACAGAGAGAAGCTAAAGCCTAAGGTGTTTTTTTTTTATCCAAATCAGGGATTCTCTTAATCTTACATTGAGAGAATGGCAGGATTTTACTCTCTCTCTATTATTGTGGCTTTGCAAATTGAGATGGAGTATGGAATTACCTAACATGGAAGATTAAAATTCCCACCTGATGCATAGGTGGTGGCCCTTTCCAGGGAAAGGACCCCTTTCCTTGCCCTTCATTCTTCTGATTAATCCCACCAGTCCTACCTGCAGTCCCCTTCCAGCCTGGTTTACACCACCAACCCGCTCTTTCTCCCTCTGGTCACAGCATTAACTCCTTTTTTCAAACACTGTCTTTTGTACCTGCCCCCCCCCCACGCACACGTTACACACCTTATCCCTGACATCCACTTATTCTTCTCCCTTTATAGAGAAAATACTCTCAAGTGTTTTAAGCTGTACTAACAGCACTGACCTGTTCTTTTATTTCCACAAACTGTCCTTGAGTACTTGTTATGGTGGTACTTGCAGAGGGGTGTGGGGAAAACTACAAAACTGAGAGAGAGAATGTGAAGTCTAAACATAGGACTCTGACGGGCCTGGGCTCAAACCCCAGCTTGACACTTTTTGGCTGTGCGACCTTAGTCAAATTATTTACCCTCTGTGTTTCACTGCACACGTTCACATTGGAATAATCACAGTGCCTGCCTAGAGATTTAGTATTTCGCACTAAGAGATGCAAAGGCTGCCTCGTGTTCAACACTGTGCAGTGGCACCTCGGGACTCGTCCAGAGAGGAAGCATTTTCTCTTGGGGGCAGCGCCGCAACTCATACAAGTTCCAGCAAGTACGACGAGTCCCGAGCAAGAGCCGAGTGCTGAAACATTTTTTTCTCATCGAAATGCGAGGAGTACAGGGTTTGACGAGATCTGAAGCTGATGAGTGCCAAGGTGTGACTTTGCTTGGCACAAAACGATCTCTCAGTAAATGGTGGTGATAAAATAGAACCTACACTCTCCTTCAGCAGTTTGCCGTCTAGTGGGGGTGGAACAGACATGTATCTTCCAACTGCTTTGTGCCCCTCGGTCATGAATGTTGAAACAGGATGGAGGAAGTGAAGAGCACTATGTGAATTTCTCTGGTTGGGAAATTTGGGTGGGAGGGGTTCTTCAAAAAATGCAGACTGGGTGTTCCTCCCACTGGCAGATGCTGGCCAGTCAGTGCAGTCACTGAAAAACAATGGTAAAGAGCGGTGAGCACTAGCGTTGGAAGCAGAGGGCTTGGGCACCGGCTGTGCAGCCCTGGGCAAATCACTAGAACTGGATGAACCCAAGTTTCCTTTATGTTAAAATGGGGAGACTATTACCAGCTCTGCCTGCATCCCAGTGTTGGCATGGGGATCAAATTAGATACCACATGGAAAGGCTTTGCGAACCCGGAATCTCACAAAAGTAGTATGATAGTGATGGTAGCAGTGATGAAGTAAGTCGTTTTTATTGTCAGCCCTGTGGAAAGCAGTTTATGTCTCTCCAGCCATTCTACCTGGCTCACCTGCCTGTGCCTAATGGTCAGCTTGCCCCCTCCTGTTGAAAGAAATGGTTGACAGAGTCTGCTCTGGATTTCTCACGCAAACATAGGCAAGCAGTATACCAGAGAGATGGCTCATCCCTGCCAGAGCAGAGCATCCCATCAGAGCATCAGAACATCCCTTCTACTCGGTGCTGAAATGAGAGAGGAGGGAGTACACAGAAGGAGGCCTTAGATCACCTACAAAGTGAATAATTAAGAATTAACTCTAATGAGAACTTGCAAAATCACTGTGCCGAAGATCACACCACTGTATGGATCCGAAAACTCCAGATGGTCCAACAAGCAGAGTTTGGCCTTTAGAATAGCCTCTGTCTCTGTCATCTTTGAGGGAACTGTTGAAACTGACTCATTCCAAGTCTGGCTTTGCCCCTCAGGCCTGGGAGTTTGCAGCTCACGCTGTCCAGCATGGGCTGTGCACCCACCTTCGAGCAGACTGTTGGAGCAGCTCCCAGTGTACTCAGCCAGCTGACTCGGTTACAAAGGAGGATTTCTCTTCTGTTCTCCTTTGTCCAAACTAGAGGACAAAGAACATGGCAACTAACTGGCCAATCACAGGGTGTGCTGGAGCCAGCCAAAAAGGGGAAGCAAAGGGAACTCCTCTCCACTCGTCGTTACAGCTGCCCCCAAAGAACCCTCCAAATATGCACCTTCCAGATGTCTGCAAAGAGCAGTTACTCTACAGCTGCCCCCTGCAGCACCCCAAAATATGGATAATAATACGGCCCCTGGGTGCCGTCACCCAGGGCCAGGATGATGCTGATGTTGCTACTCTGGGCAGCCTGAGACATGTACCTGAATCTTTAGGGTCCCTCCCTTTACCATGGTATGTTTGAGGGGCTGCAGTTTGGAGAAATTAACTTGATATATCCCACATGCTTAAGAATGTCTGGATTCCTCTGATGATGAAGAGCTGGAGGTTAATAAGACAACTCTGACATAACAGCAATACACCAAAAGCAAAAGGTCTTTCACGTTGGAAGGATGCAGGATTTGGAATCAAGCAGACCTCTTTGTACTTGAATCCTTTTACTTGCTGGGTGATATCAGACATCAGACATGTTACTCAACCTTTCCGAGCCTCAGTTTCTTCATCCACAAATGAGAATTATCACAGTAACTATCTCAGAGTTATTTGCCAAGGAATAACATGCACACAGCTCCTGGAACCTGGAGAGTGTGTAATAAATAGTAACAGTTAAAAGAACTTTCAGGCTCTCCAAAATATTCAGTTTGCTTTGCATGACTAAGCCCATTTGCAGGAGTTGCATAAATACACTGCCTGTAGAATGCACTGGTTGCTTTGCTCTTTAGGGAGCTCCAAATCACTACACAAGAACTGTCGTTTATTCTTTTTGCAATGCTAGGAAAAGGGAAAAGGGATACAGTTTTCCATTTCACAGATAGGAAATCAGAGGCATAGAAAAAGGCAATGACTTGTTTAATGTCACAGAAAGCCAGCAGCAGAGCTATAATCGGTCACGATCCCCAGCGCAATACAGCTTGTACTCACCTTTCAAAAGTCAGGGGTAAGAAACTCCTTTCTGAGCTTTAATACCATCAGTCTAATTTCTCAGGTTTTCTATAGCTGCTGATCTTGAGAACCTTTGAAGCTTTGGGGAAATCACATGGCTGATTTGACCTTACATCTCATGCCACTGGCAAAAGATTAATTGCTAAGACCTGGAAAGGGGCCAGACAATTCTGTGTAGCTGAATAACAGCACTGTCTAGGGATGTGACTGTCCTGACAGATTTAGTTAGTACATAATTGATAAATCTAGAGTTTGTATAGCTTCGCTTCCCAGATAGATGAGGCAACAGGCTCTGAGGGCTGACATTTGCAGAAGCCTCACCAGTGTTTTGTAACACTGAATCTAGGTTTTCTACTCTCTGTCTCAGAACATTGCTCATTTTCTAAGGCTCAGTTCTCAGCAGGGAAGAAGACCAGGGGATCTGACCAGAGGGTCGCTGTGTGCACTGGAGGCAGGAATGCCCACCCCTCTTCAGCACTGTCCTACGACTGCTCTCAAAGTCTATTTACCCTGCTCCGGGGCAGGCGAGGTCAGAGAATGCTGTGACACATTACACAGCAGCTAGGAGTTTTTCATCACAATCAAAAGCCCCAAAAGATAAAAGGCAGCCAGATACAACACAAAGTTTGGATAGTGGGTCTGAACCATGGTCAGGAAATTCTGCACAGCCTGTTATTCCAGACTCCAATGTCATGAGACCTGTTTTAGCAATCTGAACCCAGACAAGCACACAGACATTTTAGCTTTGGTTGCTTTCACTTTGGTCACTCCAGAAAGTATTTTGTTTATCGGGAAGAATTCAAGGTGGACATTCGTCGCCGTCATTTGTATTCAGAGCCCATAAAGTTTACTGTAAGATTTGGTTGCCTTTCCTGAATTCCTCTTCTCTAGTCTTATGTTTCGCTTCAGGAGGCATCGTCGTGCCTGGCCTACACCTAGCATACTTCTGTAATCCGGTCACTTCCGCCTGTAAACTACCTGACTCAGTGGCTCAGGTCAGAAAATCAGTGGCTTTCAGTGTATCAGATCTTATGTACAATGGATCTGGCTGTTTGGTTTTTGCATGAAGTGACTAAAGATGACATTAACTAGCCCTTACCAATAAAAATGTAGTAACTTTCATATATTATAATTAACACAGAGAGCTATTTTTAGGTCATTATTACTTTCTTAATTTAATTCACTGGTATTATATTAATTTTTAATAATCACTCAGAAAAAATCACATTGTGATAATTATTTTATCACAGATATACCATTTTAACATTAAAATGGTTTATGAGTATTCCTAAAACGTTTGTTTCTCTGAGTTTAGTAAGTGACTTTGTCTTCTTTCCTCAGATGAGTTAGAGAAATTAGAACAGGAGAGACTGGCTTTGGAAGCGACTATCAAAGACAACGACAGTGAGGAAGGAAGTGGAGGCATCCGAGGCTTGTTTAAAAAAGCTGGCAAGTTGAACATTACTAAGACACCTTCTAAAAAAGGTAAGTGGCTGCGTAGTGCACTAATATCTAAGTATTAAAGAGGACTGGAAATGAAAAATCCCACTATAAGTTTCATACACAGCTGATTCAAACATTTGGGTTTTTTTTGTTTTTGCTTTTTGTTTTTTTGAAAACTTTACAGAAATACTGCAGTTTTGAGTTTAATGAGGTCCACAGCGACCTCTGCTGGTAGAAGTTAGAACGTTAACATTTATTCTGTCACACAACTGATAATCCTGGTTACTGGAGTCATTCACTGCTGTGCAGCCCGGGAAAGATGGCTTCTGTAGGAGGGTCTTGAAGTCAAATGGCAAGATCCAAGCTGAGATCTAGCAGCCTTCTAGGCGAGGCTGACAGAATCCAACCTTTTGAAGAAGCTGTCTCCTACACTGGTAAAGGTTTGGTTTTGTTTCCTTGTTTTCCTACTGTAACCCAAGGGTGAAATTTACATATACATATAAAATATATATATTTTTTATATACCCCTTCAAGTGCCAGAGGTTCCCTTAGGTACCTGCAATATTGCATGGACAATTAAGAAAGCGGATTCTGTATTGTCACCCTTAAAATGCCATTGTCTAGGAAAACAATGTGTTTAAATCTAATAATGTTGGTGGTATTATCAGGACTTTAAGGCTATAGACATTAGCGTTTGACCATCTGGATGCTGTCACCTTTTTTCTTTCCAACTATTTGGTTAATTCATGAGAAGAGGTAACTATCCATCAAATCTGCTCTATTCAGTAGCACAGTCTGGAAAAGTGATGGAAATTTAGAAGTCATAGCCCAATAGTATTCTTACCATTCTTTAGCTGATGGCGAGGAGGGCAGCATTCATATCCTTACTAATGAAGGGGACTTATTTATTCTGGAAGCCTATTTCTGCATCACAATACTTTTGGCAAAAATTTACTCCTCGAAAGTCAACACAGATCGTTGTTTGGAAAAGCAAAGTAAGGTTGTGTGTTATACCCAACACCTAAAATTTCAGACACAGCTCAGTGCAGGCCCCTGCACTGCTCTGGGCTTCTGCTGCTTAGCTCTTTTGAGATCTAGGTCAAGACCAACTCTGCCTCCAGGTTCTCATGCTCAGAGTCCTCCAGAGGCTTTGATGTGCGTGTAAGTGGGGGCAGGGTTTGGTCCATTTTGTAAATGCATTTACTTTCTCCCTCAGCAGTCCTGGGAAGATAAAAACAATATAAGATAATTGCTTAGGAACAGGGAGGCCCAAAACAGGAAAACAGCAAAAGACAGAACAAAGCATCTTTAGAAGCCCTTAGATCAGAGAGGAAGGTCTGCACGGCTGTCAGCCCTCCTCCGAGCACCACGGTGACACCACCTCTTTGAAATAAGCGATAAAGTCACAACCTTGAAAGACATGGAAATAAGAAATAATATACACAGTGTAGCAAAGAAACCCCTACTGGCAAACAGAAGAAACAAGTCTAGTTCAAACCTGGCCTCGTTCCCCGGAACACTTTCATTGTGTCCATGTTGGATTGGAAATGGCATTAACATTTTTTTCAACTATTTCATGTGCACCCTTAATTATAGCTCAAGTAAAAAAATTGTCTTCCCATATTTCTTGGGTTTTTGATCTCATTCACAGAAATTGAAATAGCTCAAATGGCTTTATTTTAGCTTCACAAGGCTCCTTAAACAGTTAGGATTGAAGGTCGCACACAGTCGTGCACATCATCCCTGGCCTCCTGCGCGATTTGCATTCATGGAATTCACACCAGGGACTGTCTAATGAAGGAATACTACTGATTCAATTACTTCTTTCCAGAAAACTGATCGCCCTATGTTCTACTTTTGAGTAAATCTGAAAATACGATTAAGTTGAGTTATATCCAAAATTTGTAAAACTCAGGATTTTTTTCTAGCTAATTTAGATTGTTTCATGTCTAAGTAATGATTTCACTCTGAGACCAGTAACTGATAGCAGTTAAAGAATAACATTTCTGTGTTCCCCAAAGACTTTATACTATTTAGGAGCTGTGAATGTGGGAATGGAAAAAGATATAATCTGAAAATAATCCATAAAACCAATATCTAAAATTTTCAGCCCTGGCCAGGTGGCTCACTCACTTAGATCATCGTCCTATACATCAAAAGGTTGCAGGTTCAAGTCCGGGTCAGGGTACATGCCTATATCGGGTTCCATGCCTGGTCAGGGTGCTTATGGGAGACAACTAGTCGATGTTTCTCTCTGACATGGATGTCTCTCTCTCTCTCTCTCTCTCTCTCCCCCCTTTCCTCTCTCTAAAACATATTCTGGGTTAAAGAATTTTTAAAAAATTTTTAAACTACCGAAGGTGATACAAATTATCACATGTTCGATCAACCTTTATCTCCCCTTTTCAGTAAACACAGTTCACTATTTACCTATAAGTAGAAAAACTCTTAATTCATGACCCTTCCTCTATTTTCCTAAATGGATCTATTGGAAAGTTGTTTTGTTCCTTTCCTCAAAAGACAAATGGATATACTACTTTCCCTTTCATTGCAGACAGCAGCATTAACACAATCCAGTCTATGCATGTGGGGGAGTTCAACCAGAAACTGGTAGAAGCCAGCACCCAATTTAAAAAGAAGCAAGGAAAAGGCACAATTGATGTTTGGTGGCTGTTTGATGATGGAGGTAAAATTTTCTGGAATATACTCTAGGGACCAGAATTTCTGTGTTGACAAATTTAACAAACAGCATGGGAAGGTATATGGAAAAGATAGCAGTTAAAGAGTAACATTTCTGTGCTCTCCAAAGACTTTACATTATTTAGGAGCTATGAATATGGGAATGGAAAAAGATGTGAAGCCATTCATTTTCTTTCAGTAAGAGATACTCACTTTTTCTGTCATAATTTACTTTTTTTCAGGGTTAACACTCCTTATCCCCTATATCTTGACTCTCAGGAAAAAATGGAAAGACTGTAAATTAAGAATCTATGTCGGAGGGAAGGTTAACCGCATTGAAGAAGAAAAGATTGCGTAAGCAACTTATCACTTGCATTAGCACATTTTGGATGTTTGTTGTTCTAATGTTCCAATTATAAGAACTTTAAGTGACTTTGAAGTACAATAGATTTAAAGAAAATCCACCATGATATGCTTCATAGTTACTTGGTGTTCTAGTCAATAAATTATCTGTGTAAGTTTTCAAATCACTGTCCTTTTATCCTCTGCCACCAAAATGCTTTCAAAAAGGAGTTTGGCACAGAAGCCTCATCTTGTCTTGAATGAAAGTATCGTTATCTTGTATAAAGTTTATTGTGTTCTGACTAGTAAGTGAATCCCAGAAAGGAAGAGCCTGCTGGCATTTGTGTCCAACAGCTCCTTCTGGGAGGCCCACACACGGTCACTCCCAGCAGGCACTGCAGCAGGGGTCACTTAGGGGAGACCCGAGAAGCTGCCCCTGGTCCTAGTCCTGGCCCGCTGCCACCCAGCTGCTGGACTCTGCAGTCACTGCACCCGTTTTGTAGTGTGAAAGGGTGTAAATTCATGACTGTTGAGACCAACCTCACCATTGGTCAGATTGGAGTCATTCTGGTCAAAGAAGATGCTGAGGCAGCTATAGCTGTGCAGCTCTGATTGGACTGAGAAAGCCTCAGTCCTACTGGCTGAAATCAAATTCCAAGACTTTCTTTACAAGAGCAGGCTCAGATGGCCGGACACAGTGCAAACAGCCAGCTCAGTGCCGGAGGCAGGCGGTGCAGGGCAGGCCTCTCCCACAAGTGCAGTTTGTGTGCAAGGCCCCTATTTAGAAATAGCTGCTTGGCTTTGATTTTAAATTTGAGTCCAGTTAGCCAGCAGGAGCCCTTCTCAGAGGGTATCTTCTTTCTCAGAGTCCACAATATAGTTATTAGTTTGTCAATATTTGGACAGTAAACTCTAAAAATTATCAGCAAAATAGTAGTCAATAAGTATTAAAACTTGTTCTTTTTTCAAATGATAAAGACATTTTGGCAGCTCTACATTATGTTCCCTGAAACATAATGCAAGGCTGGGTTTGCTATTTCCAATGTCTGTACCTACAGGATCTTTTTTTTTTTTTTTTGCCTTCAGCAGAATAGCTTGATCCACAGTTAATATATCTATCAAGTACAATAATGAAAATCAAACAGTAATGAAAGACTGTCTGAAAGCTAAGTGGACATAAGACATGATTGCTTTGGATATCTTAAACACAAAACTCTGTGAAACGTAGCTAAATATGAAATGACAAAGGTTTTTTTTTTCTTTCCTTGTATTTTCAGAATGGCCTCCCTTCTGAGCAAGTTTAGAATAAAATTTGCAGACATTCATATCATTGGTGACATCAATATTAAACCAAACAAAGAAAGGTATGAAACATTTCACAAAGTCCGTTTTTTTAATCTGTGATGGTCTCTCATCTCTTTTGTGTCTATTATTAAAAGGGTAAAAATGCTATGTATTTACTGCAGTGACTTCCTGATAGGATATAATAAAAAGGGACTTCAAATGATCCCGACACAGTACTGTCAAGTACATTCTAAAGAAAGGAAAAGTCTTACGGTGGAGACAAGCTTGAGAGGGAGAATTGTGGAAGTACAGTTTAGTTAGCATTTTAGAATCGCCCTTCATGTTCCTGGTGTCTATCGTGGCAAGAATAGCAGGAAGTGAAAGCTGAGAGGACTCTGAACAGTCAGGGCAAGTTGCTGTTATTTAAAGTTACTGGTGGGATATCCTGGATGGAGAGCTCTGGTGGAGAGGACATGGAAACAGCTTGTGTCCCCTTGGCACAGTGACAGTGCCAGCCCTCCATGGCCATTCTAGCTTTTAGGCACTTAGGTTTCAATACTTAGAGTCTATGAGGGCCCCCAAAGGAGGTCTTGAATACTGCCTGAAGCCTGACAAGGAAACGTATTGGCCCCCAAATTTAAAAATAACAGAATTGAAATAATTGTTCAAGTGTCTTCAAAATATGACTTCATTTTAACCCTCTTTAATTATTAAATTCTCAAGTCCAGGATATTTAAAAACAGTTTGAAGGTTAGACCTTCACAGGAGTTCCCAGAGGTGCAAGATTACCTGGAAATGACAGCTGATTGTAAGTTAAGTGAACTACTCAGAGCAGTAAGTTAATAATTACAAATGTTTTCAATTGTTTACAGTCTGAAATCACGTTTACTATTGTGTCTGAATGTAATTTCACGTGTTTGACTTGGTGTGGAGTGGGGCTCCTAAGGTTAGAGTGCAGAGAGGCGGGAAGGCGTGCCTGCGCCTCCTTCCCCGGTCCTGGGCCTCCCCTCTTTCCGGCTGGCCGTGCCTGCTCCCTCCTCCTGCTGTTCTGGGGTTGCCATTCCATGTTCCTCAGAAGACTGTTGTCTTCTTGCTCTCCCCTTATTTTGATTCATACATACTACATGAGCTTAATAATCAACTGAAAATCATCTGAATTTAGGATGCATTCTTATTTACTGAATAACCTTGAACTTCATGCTGTTGGAAGGTATTCGAGATGCCTCCAAAGCTGCAGGTCACTTAAAATGGCTTTATGAACACCTTAACTGTGATAAGCTGTAACTGTCAGGGTTGACCGAGGTTATTACTATGTAATATATCCTTATATTACATATAACACACATTCCTTTATGCAATAATCTCTGGTGGCCTTCCACGTTTCATTTGAAGAATTTTAATGTCTAAGTCATTGTCTCTTGGCATTTGCAGGGATGTGATCAAATGAGCTATTCTTATGGCTCTGACTGGTGGAAATGCATTCTCCTTCATAACATAGCAGGTCCGATGACTACCTAGCATGTGCCACTTAGCAGCAGGCCAGAGCCTGCCAATGCTTCTCAAGTACAGGCCCATTTACTGTTGTCTAGAGGGTGGTCACAGTATGCCCTGCTGACTTTGGATTTTCCATAAGCCTTGGTTCAGTCCTGGGCAAAAATGAGTCACCTACTTGGAGCTGAATTCTTCTTGTTGTTGTTTGCTTTTTATCTTATCAGCAGCTAAGGACTATCTATGCTTGTTGATCAATTTGTTCCTACCTCTTTGCCCCCGTACCCATCAATATGGTTTTCTCTACCCAAGTCCTTGTTTCCTTCCCTTTCTTTCTTTTTATCCTTATCCATGGACATACTTACTGATTTTAGGGAGAGTGGAAATGGGGGGAGAGAGGGAGAAAAACATTGATTTATTGCCTCTCAAATGCACCCTGACTGGGAACTGAACCCACAGCCTAGGCATGTGCCCTGACCAGGAATCATACCGGCAACATTTTGGTTTACAGGCTGATTCTCCAACAAACCGAGCCACACTGGCCAGGGCTCCTTCCCTTTCTTCCATGTTAGTCTATGCCATGGTCAGCCCATCATACCCATCATTCACGTCTAATCACCAAGAATGTGAATGTGCTGCTTCCACTGGCCATGCCTCTGCATCCTCTCATTGCCCAGCACAGTCTAGCCACTCTTCCTCTTACTACCTTTGACCCTTGTGTCAGGGTTTTCTCTTTTCAGGGATCAAACTCTATGAACAGTAATAAGAAGCAGAGACCCAGACATTTTTGCTTGTTTCCCAGTAGCTAAATTTAATTTTAGATATTATTTTAATTGGATGTTTCTTACATATCCTCCTCATTCTGCAATGAAGAGATCTATCTCCCTTTCTCTGGAAAACACATGAATTAGTTTTCACAGTCTCTGAGGTTTTTTCCCCTGATACTTCAAGGTCTTGAGGAAGATGCAGAGGAAGAATTAAAATTAAATTTCTCGCTGGAGTTATTTAGCCAGCTTTTGCAGTAATTCCCCAGGCACAAAGCTAAGGGGCAGCCAGGAGGAGGTGTGCTGGGCGGGCTGCCCCGCTCTCTTCAGCCTCTGCGGCACCCAATGCCATGTGCCTTTATAAAACAGTCATCTATTTACCTGGTGCTGGCAACGGCTGTTCTAACACTGGCAGGTAAATTTTAGAACACAGAATGGTGATTCAGTGCATCTCACACATGGTCACTGGTAGCACATCTGGCACCTTTGTGATAATTTTTAAAAGGCAGCACCTCAGGATATATCAATGAGAGAGAGAACTCTTCCTCTGGGCTGATGCAGCTTTGGGCCCAGGTCCCAAAGCTTGGAGCACTGGCTCAGCATCGGCTCCCACCTGGGCCTCCCTGGATGAGCAGCCCTCACCTACTGTCAACAACTATCCCGGGGTCCCTGGTTTTCTGTCTTTGTTTTTAGTCACTGGGTAACAATGAATGTCCAGGATAGTTTGTGAGTGATTTCGGTGTTGGAGGCTAAGGTTGAATGTCCTTAAATTGTGTTTAATAAATCTTTCAACTACCATAAAACATCAGTAAGTCATGATGGGGACACTTTATCATAGAAACATTATCTATAATATAGAGCAAGGGTGAGAGGAAGTACAAAAGCAAAGTTAATGAGAAACTAATTGAGCCAGGAAAAACCGAAAAGCTCTTGTGGTTGAATTTCATTTTTTATTGTGTAACTGAATTAAAAGTCGTAGGCCAAAAGGACAACAGTCTTTATATAGAAATCAGGAGAAACTAGAAGCAATTAACTAGATAATTTAGTTTAAAGGTGCTAGAGTGGCCATAAAAATAACTAGTACTTTAATTGGAAAGAAGAAATCTTATGAAATTAGGGGGGAAACTTTTATACAATTAAAAACATTTTAAATTTTGTTATTATGAAGAACAGGATGGAGAAGGCAAGGCAGCTGGAGTTAATATTTTAATTGAATTAAATCTCATTTATTTTTAATAGCATATAATGCTTGGCCTATTCTTGAGTCATCACATTTAATGAGAATTAAAATAAAAATCTTCAGCTAACTTTGGACCACCTAGCTAGGAGATGGGAAATGACCAGCATGGGGTGAGGATGAAGAAGTCAAAGATGAACATAGTCAAGGAGTAGTAAGAGTTCAGAGAAAACAAATGGACAAATACAGCCCATGACAACCTTCTGTATCACTTTAGCATATTTCAATTGCAAGTAAAAAGAAAACTCATGATGACTTAAAGTAATAGAAATTATATCAAACATAACTGAAAAGTACAAGTGTACATGGGGGGGACCAAAAAACAAAAAAAAAATGGAATTATCTCCTGGCAGGTGGGCCTCCTGCAGTGCTGGCTCCCCCTGCTAGTTGAATGTTCTAGGAACCCATCTGTAGCAGTGTACCAGCTGGTGTTGTTGTGAGAGGCTGCATTCGGTTTCAGTGAATTCTTTTTAAGACTCTTCCAGTGCATTTGCCCATTTCATGATGGGTGATGTACTAGTGCACCTGCCCACAGTACACTCAGTGTTCAGCAGTTTTTGACCAAAAGCCTACATGACCCCCATGCCCCACCCTCCCTGTTCACCTGACCTCACCTTGAGTGACTTTTTTTGTTTCCTTGGATTTAAAAAAAGGCCTCAAAGGGAAATGTTTTGCCGATGTAGAAGGGTTGAAACAAAAAAAAAAAACAGCATAAGTACTAAAAGGCATCAAAATCAATGAGTTCAGAAACTGTTTCGAGCAGTGGAAAAAACACCTCGATAGGGGTATTGCATGACATGAAAAGTACTTTGAAAGTGACTGGAATTTACACATGTAAGAATAAATACACAGTGTTTATAAGTAAATTGCATTTTGGGGGGAGTCCCCACCTTGTATTTTGGTTTTTAGGTAAAGCTTGCTCTAGAAAGTTAATTTTGCAATCAAAGACTATTTCTCTTTCATTCTCTTTACTCTACCTTTCATTATGAAATTGTAAGTTCAAGTTGATTTTGCTGATAAAAATAAGATGACTGTCCATAGCAACCAGGACTACATATTTGCCAGTTTATGTTCAGTAAGAAAGCTTGTCTCTTCCCTGGTCATTGAATTCAGGTCATGGGCACCATTTAGGCTGTACCAGTCTAAGCCACTGCACCACTCACCACGGTCAAGTGGAATGCTAGGTCCCTATTCATCGAGCTTTCCTGGGTTATGTGCCCACCTTGGCCAGCCACGCTGGCAGAAAGGATAGAACTGTGTGCATCGGCTGATGCTGCGGATGGAGTCATTCCCACTCAGACCACAATGGGGAAGGTAGTGCAAATGCTGGGAAATGACCAGCTACCTCCATTTCACCTTCTATTTCCTAGGAAACTATTTTTGAACTGCTTTTTCTTATAAGCCCATTAAGGTGCAAAGGAAACTCTTATTGTGATCAAAATAAGCATATGGAGAGCTTCAACGGAGAGCCCCTCAGTGGCCAACCTCGACCTGGGGCTGTGCAGTAAAACAAATTCCTTGCCTTAACTGGGCACTGCACACTTTCCATAGCACTGTCACCAAAAGCACCATACTGACCCTCATATCTACCCTCATGCCAGCTCTGAGCAGCCATTGTCACCCCTGGTATAGGCGGGGTCACCCATGTTGTGGAGGAGGACTGGAGAGCTGGAGGGAGAACCCAGGCTCTTCTCGCCTAGGCCAGACCCTTCCCGCTGATTTCCGCCCAAGGCTTCTGAAAGCGCGGCACTGTGGGAACAAACTGCGCATACAAGTACTGTGTGGTTGACAGAATAACAGGGCATATCAGTCTTATTCCTTCTCTGTCATTGTCCAGGGTTCTAAATAAGTCCTTGTGTCAGAAATCTACTGCATTAAGTATCTTTCCAATCCCTTAACAAAGGCACACAGATAGGGGCCTTCTATTCATTAGTAGTCCGTGCACTTTGATCTGTGAATCCTGAATCATGCCAGCTGATGAGGTCATTGAACTCACAGCTTCATATTTTACTTTCTTAGCCTAACAGCACATTGAATGTAATTATCACTCATTCCAAAGTTACTAAATTACACACAAGCTACATTATATAAAACCAACGAAAATTATTTATATTTGAGATCATTAGAGTAGCATACCAAAGACAACACTCTCATCAATCATAAGCTTTGTTTTGTGCTATCATTTAAAAGAGACACACCTTATGAGATTGTTATGAAGGACAGCATGAGATTTTTCCGCAGTTTTTAAAAGTCCCACAGCGTTGGCTGCTGCTGCTCCCAATTCTCTACTAAATGATTTCTTCTTAATTACTCTAAAACGCCTCAGAATTTTAGACATTATTGATTTTTTGTTCTTTTTTCTAACATGCACCTTAACAATAGCCATTTGAAAAGCTCAGGCAACAACAGCGGAAGGACAAAGGTGCCTTATTAGCAGCAAACATTCAAGTTGCTCTGTAGCCACTGAACTTGTGGGAGCCTTGCTGTTCTCCCACCTGCCCGCGCCTCCTGCCTGCCATGAGTGGGCATTGTCCTGTGGACTGAAGGTGAGGGGGCAGCCCTCCCCAACTCCTAAGGAACCTAGTTTATCTCCTGCACTGATTCATGCATGTCTGCCATGGAATCTGTAAATCAGGCTGATGGAAATTCATTTCTGGGCTACAGTGTCTGCATTACAGCTGTGTCTTTGATGATACTGTGCAGAAAACGTATTTACTGAATAACTACTATCTCTGTGTTGGTGTGTTTATATTGTGGTTCTAATACCTAAACGGTAGACAAGTCCTCAAGCATGTTAAGGCCTTTCCTTGGATATGGAGGCAGTACTGTAGTCATTCACCCACAGTGAATGACTTCAAAGATAACTCATAAAAGATTTTCACAACATTCAGCTCTGATCCTGCAGCCAGAAGAGCCAGTCAGACCAGGAGTATCTGCTACATAATGAGTTAGTTTCCCCACTGTGAGACCTCCTTTATGATTCCAATTTCAGCTGGAAAGGCTTTGAAGAGATGATAGAACAATACCGGCTCCATGAAAGCTGCAAAGATCTAACAACTGCTGAGAAATTGAAGAGAGAAACTCCATGGAAAATTACAGATGCTGAACTGGAAGCAGTCAAGGAAAAGGTGAAGTCTTGTCTTCCTTAATTTTTACTTTACTGTCTAACTAGCTGAAAAAAGGAAACAGCGGTCGGTTTAAAGATCAAGAAGTAATGTATCTATTATAGAATTTCACTATTTAAGATCCAGGGTTCCTGCATTTTTCAAGTGCTTTTCAATTATATTACCAGATAGGAGGATTTAGAAAACTTTTCATTTACTTAGTATGAAATTGATTCCTTTTAACAGTTTAAAAAAACACAGGTTATTGACACATATTGTGAAAAATGCTTTCAAGTTTCATTTTCTAGAACAGGAGACAGACCCACCAGTCTAAAATAATTTAAGTCAAGTCAGTGTGTATGCAAAGTAGTTAAAGATGGATTGCCTCACCACCTGATGCCATAACGAGTAAAGATAGCTGTGAAAACTAGCATAGGGATCTGAGAAAGTAGGTAATGGGATAGTAAGGATGAAAGCTGGAGCAGGCCCAGGCTGTAGGATGGGCGTAAAATGGTGGGGTTTTCTGGGAAACACAAGACAGGAGTTATCGGCCATCTGGACGGCCCTCAATGAAGCTGTGATGAGGAGGGTGAGTAAGGCAGGGACAGAAGAGTAAAGCAGAAGAACCGACACTTGAATTGGACTGAACATTCAAGAAAAAGGGCCACAAGAACCTCTAAACTACAAAATTTAAATAAATTCCATTAGGAACTGAAGTTAGAACAAATTAGAGCAGGAGGTAGTAAAAGCATTTCAAAGTTAGTGGAAAAATTACTAAAAATTATAAACTCTGTGTAACAAACCGCCCAGTTCTAACAAAGCCTTTTCATATAATTGAACAAATCACATATCTAGAATCCCATTTTTGAAACAAGTGATATATAATAATATATATTATTGTTTTTATCACTGCAAAATAGTCAAGTGTAATTATTTTCCCAGGTTCGTCTTTTGGTGCCTGTTTAGGTGAAACCAGTACCCTCTGCTGATAAAACATGCAAAGAGTTTAAAGAAAGGTAGATGGGGATATAATCTATATTCTTGAGATATCAAGTTAGCAGGAAGATCGGGTCAGTTTTCTTCAAAACTGACTCCGATTCTTCCGTCCCCAGAACTGGTGGTCATCATCTTCTTTTTACTCTTGTCCTATCGTTTGCTCATTTTCTCCCACCTGGAATTTAACGAGACACTACAGCACAGTGACAACCTGGTTCTACACTTCATATCCCTAAAATTTCTCATGGGTTTTTTAAAAACACTCTATGTTTCCAAACCTGAATGAAATCAGTGTAATATTTTTTAGAAGTGAGGTTTTTCTACTTGTCTATAATTTGAGGTAATAAGAGAAATTCTTATTCACAATTCTGGGAAGACTGCCCTCAACAAAATCTGAATGTTGTCCACAGAGTTACCGCCAAGTTCGACTGAATGAGCTCTTACAGGAGCACTCGAGAGCTGCTAATCTCATAGTCCTGTAAGTATCGCTGCAGACATTTAAGAATGTGCCAGCATGATACCTAAGAATGGTACCTAAGAGAAATCTTAAGTAAATGGGTTAATCAATTTAAAAGTTCATGCCTATTCAGGTGGAAACTCAAAAATATTGGAACATGTGGGATTTTAGACAATGAAAAAAAACACTTGTCACCCTGAGACCTAGAAAACCAGGGCCCAGGGGCCTTAGTGGCCCCACTGGCCCTTTGCTGCAGGGCAGTGCCCACCTGCAGCCCCGGCGGCCCCTCCAGACCACGCTCCAGGAGCCCGGCCCTGGAATCCCCTGCCTGACAAGCTTCCAGTCGGCCAACGAGGCCCACAGGCCCCTTCGCTAGGTGGGTGCTCCTGAGGTGAGCAGTCCACTGCTTGTTCACAAGGCTCCTTGCCATCTGCGGAGAGGCCAAGGGGAGACCCTCCACCCCACACATGTTAGGGGTGCACCTACTGAAAATAGTAATGTCTTTCATCGACCTAAAGATTGATGGCTAAATATGAGAATCTCCAACTATTTCACATTAATCGCCCATGAACTGACTCCTACACACAAAGGCAATATGTCTTCTAGGAAGGCCCAGCCTGGAGGACTGTCCATCAAAGACATAAAATGGTCTCCTGAATCAAGTGGTTCAAATAGCTGGTTTCTGAGGTTCCTCCAAATATAAGAGCTTTGAACTATTGGGGAAAATTATTTCTGCCAAAAAAGGAGTAGAGGTATTGATTGATCTAATTTACCTTTTAAAAAGGAGTAAAAATCTATAGTTGTGTTTTACCTCTACAATGCCTAAACCTAATTCCCTGGTTTATAGGTATCTGTATTATCTGAGAAATACATTAGTACAATACCTATACTCAAAGTCATTGAAGTGCTTTCATCTTGGGGAGGAGGGGTACAGAAGTGTCAGGCTACTGCTTACTAAGCAGCTCAGACAACTGGAGGGGTGACTGACTCCGAGCAGTAGCTCTCACCTCTGTTTTCTGTTTTTCTCCCCTGCTGGCAGGAGCCTCCCAGTGGCCAGAAAAGGATCCATATCAGACTGGTTGTACATGGCTTGGCTGGAAATCCTCACGAAGAACCTCCCTCCTGTCTTACTAGTTAGAGGAAACCACAAAAATGTCCTGACGTTTTACTCTTAAATCATGAAAAATCACAGCACATTTTAACTTAACATATGGATGATTAAGAACCGGTCCAGTACTTGATATTGTAAATCCGATCCACACTTAGGCAACCCCTGGAAGCTATAGTACACGTTTCTACATACATTTTGTCATTACTTTTTTATTAGTTAACAGGAGCTTTTTTTCTTCTGTCAGCTTAAGGGCAGTGTCAAAGCCACTGGCACATCTGAGAAAAACATCTTTGTCATTGCTGTTGACACACCAGAAAATTAAGCAAACCCATGCTGCTTTATGCTCAGGAAAAGCAGCAACTTGACTGCAAGCTTCTCCAGGCAAAACTAACGTTTGTTTGCTCCTAGGCCCCCACGGAGGCCCTGGCCCCACGGCAGGTTCTCACTAAATGCTTATTGACAGGTTGGTGGAGGAACACGGCTGGTTATCAAAGGCAAAGGCCAGCCGGGCAGGAAACATGATTATGCTTGCCCTTCTGAGAGGCTTATACCTACAAAGAAGATTTGAAAATCAATAACTGAAAACTTTAAGAAACACTGGAGTCTACAAAATGTTTAAAGCAGTTCCCAAAATAAGGTTATTTAATGTAGCACAGATTACGTACTCGGAGTGATCAGAGCGATCGCTGGCGATAACGTGCACGTCAGTGCGCTGCTGGCTGAGGCGCGCGCTGGCTGCGTTAGGAGGCAACGCGCACTCCCATTAAATGCAATATGTTCCATTATTAAAGTAGAAACTTAGCTTTCTTCCCTATTAAATATTTTGAAATTTCCACCATAGTATTTCTTTGCATATTTTTCTAATTAAGTGGTTAGCACAGATGAAATCTTCAGATGTCTAGTAATTGAAAACCAACAACCACAAATTTTTAAACATTATAAAGAAATACATCCTGAATCATTTACTTAGTTACTTTATATAGTGATTATATGGATTTAAAAGAACAATTCAAATGTGGAGAAACTTGCAAAATTTAAAATATGTAAGTACTGATTGTTTTCCCATTTTTGTTAGTATTCCTATAATACTTAATCACATTGGAAAAAAACAACAAAATTTTGTTTTCTGATGATTGACTTGCTTTTTCTCCTGACATGTTTTAACTGTTTAAACTAACTGCTAAAATATAAAGGAAACAATAAACCTGAAATAAAAGCACTGAAATTCATGCACTTTGGCCTAGGTCATGTTTTTATTTTTCAGTCGCTAAGATCACAATGCACTGGTGGAGCAGATATGAGCCTTAAAATTTCTATCATTTGCCTCATCTGAAAGGTTATCGAAAACTGGGATTTAAGATTAGGCCTTCCAAGCCCAGACTCGTCTCAGAAGGATGACCGGGGAAGCCAATGAGCCAGCAAAGTTGCAGTGGCAGGCTATGCCCGCTCCATGTGTGGGAGCATTTGACTTAACTCAGCCCTAGATTAGAGCCTCTCTCGTGAGCCTCTGCACCTGAAATCCAAATGACTAGAGGTGGTGACCAGGGACAGGTGTGCCCAGCTTCACCTGGCCCTGACACTCTCTGAAACACTTGGGAGGGTCTCTGGGAAAGGTGAGAAGTAATGACTTCTGTAACAGCAAAGTCTGGCTCTTGTTTCTTGGAGAGACTGTTTCGGCTGGGTTCCCTGGAAATCGGACTCAGAGAGAGCTGAGTGTGGAGCATGTTTGTTGAGGAGCACCCTTGCGATCAGCACCCTTGGGATCAGCACCCGTGGAAGAGAGGAACAGGAAGCAGGAAGGGTGGAAGGAAAGGTGAGCTGTGGTGCAGGCCACAGGTCAGCGTCAGCTGAGCCCACAGGATGCTCTGGAGACAGAGGTGCCTTCAGAGTAGCCCCAAGCAGGGCTGAGAGGACCGGCCTTTATTCTCCCTCACTGATCAGTCATTGGATGTGGCCTGTCAGGCTGGGGTGTGATCTTGGCAGAAGCCACTCTCTGAGAGCTGAGAGCTGAGGCCTGTCTGCTGACAGCACTCCCAGCTGCTGGGGCACTGAGTCTTGCATTAAACAGGGTCTGGGTGGGTCATCACCATGCCAAAGAAAGGGGCCATATAATGTAGTGGTTAAACAACAACAGCCCCCCCCAGGCCCACACACACGCCCCTCCAGACTGCTCTCACCATTTATTAGTGGTTTGACCTCAAACTAGTAGTTTAACTTTCTCTGTGCTACTGGCAAAAGAGTGACTAGAGAAATGTCCTTGGTTTCTAAGTTAACAAAGGAGAAGAGCACAGACAGAAAAAAGGGCTGGGTGGCAATAGAGGCTGATGGTTTTAAAGTCAAGAGCAGCTGTATTGGGAATAGGTTAGAGCGGCAGGAATCTGAAAGAATGGGGGCTGCGCTCAGGTACCAGCAGTGTTTTGTAGCCCTGATGCCCTGCCCTTATCCTTTGCTTCACCCAGCTCTGTTAAGCCAACCACCCATTGTCCCCATGTCTACACTCAGCTTTCTCAGCAGGAAGGGGAAAGTCATACAAACAAGTTCCCTGACATCCCACTATCTGTGTCCTCTCATCTTATGTACATTTCCCATCAGCTGCTTCCACAAGGGCTTTTCAAAATCTCCACCTGTGTGCACTCCTTCACCTGCACTCCTTCACTACGGCAAGATGACCCTGCCACCATCCCTAGCACAGCCATGTCCATAAGAGTGCAGACCATGAACTTTCCTACGTGAACAGGGCCATGCTGGAAGCGCTGTCTTACAAGTTCTTCTCTTAATAATCAAGTTTGACAATCTTTCAAAGGAAGTTTTAAAAAAAGAGATTGTGCATTCTTGGAGACTCCCACAGACCTGCTGGATCAGAATCTCTGGGACAGGGACCGATGAGATTCTGAAACTGCTACTCTAGCCAGCCTCTCCTGCTCCAGTGATCATGTGACCAGACGAAATTTCGATTTCCAACCCAGCCCTCCCCTATGTCTCAGATACACTTATTCAATCACTAACTTTCATAGTGTTTCTCTGTAAGTCCTGCAGACATCCTAAATGCAGGATGACCAGACTTCTGTTTAGAAACAAACAAATGAACCAAGAAATTCAAACCACACAACTCGAGCAAAGGCATCTAATTCTGTTTTTCTGTTGTTTACTACATCCCCCCCCCCCGCAAATGAACAAAGAAACATAAAAGTGGAAAAAAATGGCATCACAGTAGGATGCCAAGGAAGGATGCCATCCATGGGGTAACATTTTTAAAAACACAATTTAGTTGAGAGAGATCGAAGGAAGCTATCAAAGGCACCTTGAAACAAATGCTCCTGAGGAAAAAAAAAAACGGCACAGAAAATCACTGCAAGAGACCTGGGAGAATTCTGCTAACCCCTCCCCCAACCTGCAGCGGGAAGCCAGAGCCCGAGGTAGGAGGGTACAACACTAGCGGGATCCCTTTTGCCAGATGCCCAGAGTATTCAGAGATGGCTACCCGGAGAGGCCAAACCGTGTGCTTGGTGGGCCCTTGAAGCAGATGGGTGTTGCAGTTGGGTATCTCATGGGTGCCCTTGAAAGATCCCAGAGAGACAGCTGCCTGCCACAGAGGCTGAGCCAAAGACAGAGTCCTCCCTCAGTACACAACTTATCCTAACACAAAGAAGAAAATTTGCAGGGATGAAAAATCCTGTCCCTGGGTCTCACCGCTCTCGGGTTGCTGGGTTACTAAACTGGTGCTGAGCTGACATAAACCAGGTCTCCAGCTAAGATTAAACAGGAGCATTGTAACAATACCAGGTCGTGTGGTGGAGGTCCCCGTGCCAATCACAGACAACCAGCCACATCTGCTCACTGACAGGGTGGTGTACAAGACTTAGCACCTGCAGAGGCCTTCCTGGCCGAATGTCACCACATGAGTCACTTGAAGCCAGTTCACCAGGTATTGCCAACGTTTTCCTCTGCAGAGGTTTAGGGGACACGCTGACACAAGGACGGGATCTGTCTGGATGCCACAAACAGAGAAGAGGAGAAACTCCTCTTTGGGTGAGACTCACTCTGGTGCTGAGATGTCCCAGTCGCTGACACATCATGGCGTTCCCATCAGCTGCAGGCAGCACCAAAAGGACGAGGCCACGCTCCAGGCCAGGGCCTCTGGCCCAGGCACTCTCAGAGAGCCACAGTGCCCCCCACCATGCTGGCCCCGCCGACAGGAGAGACCTCTTCTCCACAGCAAGGTGTGTAGCTCAGCCTTACCTCTTTTTGAAATCCTGATGTTGAAAACAATTTCAGTCTTCCCACCCTTGTGCAGAAAAAGTGTTTTCAAAGAGGACATATAAGATTCTATCTCATCTGTGACACCATTCTAAACACACCATTATAGTAGGTCTCACTAAGGAAGAAAAATCTCTGCCATTTAAACCATGACAAAGTATTCTATTGCCTGGCATTGTTGTGGTGTTAATGGAAAACCTTCTGAAGGCTTTTAGGTATAGCATCTCCCTGCTTCCCCACTACAGGGCCAGGAGTGCCAGCGATGTGGCACTTCTTTAAGGAAAAACCCATGCACACTATTTTATTATTGGCATTAATAACTTGCATAATTGTAGATTTAAGTATGATTTTTTAAAAAATAGCTTAAATATAAGTCATGACCCCATAAAAGTCCTAAGGGAAAACATGGGCAGGAGAATCTCAGACATCCCACACAGCAATATTTTCACAGATACATCCCCTAGGGCAAGGGACATAGAGGAAAGAATAAACAAATGCGACCATGTCAAACTAAAAATCTTCCGCACTGCTAAAGAAAACAAAATGGAAAGGGAACCAAGTATATGGGAAAACATTTGCCAATGATACCTTTGATAAGGGTTTGATCTCCAAAATATATAAAGAACTCATATGACTCCACACAAGGAAGATATACAATCCAACTGAAAAATGGGCAAAGGACTTGAACGGACTCTTCTCCAAGGAGGACATATAGAGAGCCCAACAGACACGTGAAAAAATGCTCAGCATCGTTAATCATCAGAGAGATGCAAATTAAAACCACAACGAGATCACCTCACACCAGTCAGAATGGTCATCATAAACCAACAAACAACAAGTGCTGGAGAGGATGTGGAGAAAAGGGAACCCTCGTGCACTCTTGGTGGGAATGCGGACTGATGCAGCCACTGTGGAAAACAGTACGGAATTTCCTCAGAAACCTAAAGATGGAATTGCTTTTCAATCCAGCAATCCCACTGCTGGGACTATACCCTAAGAACACTGAAACATCAATCCAAAAGAACCTATGTACCCCTATGTTCATAGATAGGAGTAAATAA